GGTACAAGAGATTATATTTAATGTGAGTTGCATGTATTTACGACATTAGTGTCTTGTTAGTGGTTTTTTTTCTAAATATCTATGTTGTTCCCATTTGAGAGTGAGTACTGTACCTGATTGGGCACTGGGAAGATATTTATTTTGTACACATACTGTAATGTCTTTTAACAGCTGCTGCAATACCCAGTGTTCTCCTTTATTCATATGCTAAAAACCTTGCTGCTCCTGCATATATAGTTTTGTATACTGTACTGTACAAATACCCTGCACTGTATTTGGCTCTCCTCACAGTACCTCACAATACAGTACAGTGTTATATAAGTGTGTTCTAGATAATGAAGTTAGAGTGATGTACAGTTTTGTTGGTTCCTTTTGAGATATTCTAGTGTTGAGTCAATCTATGCTGTTGTGTTGTTCATGTGTGTGTTCCACTTTAAATCTGGTGAGAGGTGTGTGCCTGGTTTTTGTGTCTGAGGTTTCATAACATTTCCTGTCACTTTCTACACCTCTCTTGCAGCACTCTCCTTTATTCTTTTCTTTAAACAGTATTTCTGTTTACCTTCATTCATCCCACATTAAGAGTCAAGACCAGTAAAAATTATCAACATTCGTAAAACAGTATCTGAATCTTTCACCATTAATGCTGGGAGTGACATAATTAGGTAAAGATACAGGTGAGGACTGCCAATTTATTTTTTGTTATCTTTTTACAGGATTTTTTTCTTATCTGATTATTGCAATGCATATAATGCAGATCTGGTAAAAGAGGCAAAAACAAAGTAAACAAGTGAAAGCTTAAAAATATAAAATGCCAGTTTTGTCAGAAATACAGTACAGGTACTCCCTTTAAAAGATCGCATAGCTAAACCATCAATGATGTCATATGATTAACTAAACTGAACAGAACCTTACCTAAACAAAACGTAATGTAAGATTATAATGGTTGGGTTTGTGTCATATACTTTCAATAGTCCTGCAACCTACCTCTCCAAAGGAGTGTTCTTGACATGATGCTTTGTATTCATATTTTAGACCTTACAATACAGTACATAATTTTTTGCTAAGTTTTCTTGCATCTCTACCAGATTTGCACTCTATGCAATGAAATAAAAACATTGGTGAAGATCCCATAAAACTAATAATAAGACATAAATGAGCAACCCTCTCTTTAACATTTATACCAATAACGTGTTTTCATGCACAAGTGTCTACACAATCTAATGTTCAAAATATAGGTGAACACTGTTTTCATCAACAATTGTGGAACAACTGAAAAACAATGACTCAAAATTATAGTACAGTATTGGTGAATTCTTATGAAACTTTGCCTTTGCCAGAATCTCCTTGCCACTGATCAGTGAAAAATAAATTGTTATATGACCCGGTACATAAAAGCATTAATCCCCTAACACACCCGATGACAGGGCTCTGAAGCAGGGACTAAATGTGGGATTATAAACAAAAATCCAAATAAACTAACTGTACTGTACTGTCCAGTACTGTCATCAACTCTATATGTAAGAAAAATATACATTTTATGAGGGTGCTGACTCTTGCTTAATAGGGAAAGAGATGCAGGGCATTTTGAGTTGGAAACTTTTTACAATTAGAGGAGTACACACTTTTATTTATTTTTTCTTAAAGGTAGTTAGCCCTTTGATGTAAGATGTGCTACATATGGCACAGATGCGTCAGTAAGCTGACTGTGGATGTGCAATACAGTAATCAGACATCTTATGTCTGATTACTTCATAAAGAGTTGTCATGTACCTTATAATTCTTACACTAATCCTAATTCATTAATACAGTACCATCAAGAATGTTTGAGTTTAATAATCTGTCAAACATCAGCAGATGTTACAGACTAAAAAAATATCCCAAATGTAACAGAGAGGTTTCTCAACAAAAGAACCCATTTATTTCAAACTTGGAATAAGTGCCGACTGTGTGTTGCAAACTATTATACAGACTGTTTTAATGTATAGAATGCATATCAATTTAAACAGTGAAAAACAAATCTGAATTAAATTAAGAAAATGCAAATACAACTGTACAGTACAGGCAGTACCCGGGTTACAGACGAGTTCCATTCCTGGGGACATTCTTAAGTCAAAACTGTAAGCAAGTCAAAACACACAACCTATGTTCATACCGTATTTACAGAACAATTTTAAAATCCCACTACAGTATATCATAGCCTAAGTCATTATACATAGCTAAAATAACTTAATATAAGAGAAAAGAAATAGAATGACAATATACAGTAAATGAACGTCAAAGATAAGTTATCAGGTAAATAAAATACTGTAAATTTAAAGTTTAAATTTATGGGACCTCGTTCGTATCAGCGGATGTTTGTAAGTCGGACGTACGTAACCCGGGAACCTCCTGTACCAGGTTGGCCTTGTGCCATTGGAACTGTATTACACTGACAAAAGCAGTCATTGTACTCAGACTTTGGTCCATTTCTGGTAAAATTGTAAGAGTTCCACGATGGCTTTTCTTTAATTTGCCAGAAGTAGCAAAGTCGTTTTAAGAAAATTTAAAGCACAGTACAGAAGTTTTTTCCTTCCTTTGCCATACTATTGTAAAAATCCCTTAACGAAATAGGCTATTAATAAGGTGACATTCCTAAGATGCACCTTTATCATGTTTTTATATAAACAGTACCTGTACTACTACAGTGCAGTATAATGCAAATTATTCTCAATATTCCTTTAAAACCCCACATATTTCCTGTTGTACAGCCCAACCCACAAACAAACTTTATTTACTGGTACAGTAATAGCCTGTATTTTAAGTTTTAGAATATATATATATATATATATATATATATATATATATATATATATATATATATATATATATATATATATATATATATATATATATATATATATATATATATATATATATTCTAAAACTTAAAAACAGGCATAGAAGCCTGAGGAGTCAATGGTTTATGTCATCAAGTTATTGGAAGCTCCAACAACTTGTCCCTGAATACGAATTCGCAACTTTCGATTTACACCAGGTACCTACTTTACTGCTAGGTGAACAGGGACTAATGGGGGCTAGGAAGTATGTCCAAACCACTTCCACTGGCCCGGGAATCGAACCCGTGACATCTCGCTTGCGAAGGCAAGAGAGGTACCACTCTACCACCAGCACCCCCTATTTAACATAATTTAAGTACAATACAGGGATACTAGTTTTTAGCGTGCCAAACAGCCTGTCAACACACCATACAGGCGTCAGTCTCTGTGTCTTTTCAGTGGAGGTAACATCTTGCTTCAGACTCTCTTCAACATAAACGCTTTTTTTTCTGTGTTTCCAGTCAAATTATTGGTCATTTTGAAATTTACTTTATATATTGACAATATATAATGCAGTGCAGTGTTGATTTAAAGAAAATAATCTTGAATTACACCAAGTGAACTAAAATTTTATGGGTGAAATAGCACCATGGGGTGACTTCTCTTCCACCCCAATGCCTTCTCTTCTCCCTTCTCCTCCACCCCCATTCTAATTCCCATCATCATCATCATCATCATCATCCAGGAGCCTTCTACATACACACCTCAAAATAAGTGTACTTTACTACCTTTTTGTTGACTTTAGGCAATTTTCAGTGAGCTGGAACCAATTACCCAAAGACCCATTGAAACAATGGTTTCGGTTAACAAGCAACCTTCTGGAAGGAATTGTACTCGTTAACCGAGGGACCACTGTGTATGTGTGTGTGTGTTTATCTTTCTAGTTTTCATGAGACTGTATACAGGAGGATAAATGCAAGAAACTCTATATGAAAACTCCAATTAATAAGTATGGGTGCCTTGCTTACAATTTGGCAGTCAATGTTCAACATAATAAAATAACTTAACAATCCTAATGTCTTCAACAATCTGTGAAAACTAGATTTTCATTCACAGTCAACTGTGAATCTATTGCTAGAGCATGAAAAATAAATAAACAAAACTACAAAACAGTAAAATAGTCAAACATGTGGCCAAAATCAACCTGAAAGCCGAGTCTACTAATCTGCTGTACTGTATTTATTTTACCCTAGATATAAACTTCTTTCTTACCTCCTTTAAACTCTCATTAAAAACCTTAAAGTAAAAATACAGCATTATAACCAATTCAGAAGCAGGAGTTTAAATTCACATTATTGCAGAAAACAAAAATATCAACAAACAGCTTGTCTGCCCATTTCGTTTTCATAATTGTGACACTTTTTACAGAATAAATATAAATCATGATTTCTTTTGTGTAAAAGAATAATATAATGTGGACATGAATCAGTACAGTACTGTACCTGGTACCAGTACTCCTGTGAACACATGCTGGTGACAAACAAACATGCTGTTTTACCATGAAAATCTTTTAAAATATAAAACAAATCAACCAAATTAAACCTATTCATATTAGGGAAAATATATTGAGAGATCTTGAGATAGGGTTTGGAAGGTTAGGTACGATTGGGTTGGTTGGTTTTATAAGAACTTCACAAAAATAACAAAATTCTCTCTTTAATCGCAAATTCACAACATAATATCCCTTGGCTTATAAACTTATCTAAATTATAGCAATTATTTTTTTCTAACACCAACACTCAATTAAATAACAAGAGAACTATAGGTGAGGATAAGAACACTATCAACTGAATGACCTTAAATTAACAGAGTAGTGAAAGAACTGAGGTGTTTAGCCATGTGGAGTGTTTTAACAAGACCTGGCACTAGTAGAACAGCCCCAAGACACCATCCCTGGGACACACCTGGGGGCTAGTGTCAGTCCCCAGCACACACACACAGGGGGCAGGAGGTGAATGGCCTGCCGTCATTCTTCCCGGCCTTGACCAAACCTCCATTACCCACGTATGTTTCACTCTAATATTGCACCCTTCACCGCCCTTATCACTCATCTGATGCACGGGTTTGATAGGCACAAGAACTAGCAGCATATGAACCTCGACAATCACAACTTGAAACACAAACCATCAAAAGCTGATCACTTCCATTGCCAGAATCACATGTAAACCAACCTGAGGTTCCTTGTCCTTTCATTCGCTGCATATCAGAGTGTCCAGCGTACATAAAACTGTCACTTTTAAATGATCACACACAATAAAATCTGTCTTTCTGTCCACAAATTCCTCACTATCACTAATTCATGCGGCCATGTTAGTTGGAGGGCTCGATATCAGCCAATAACTGCCATGAAAACATAAGCAACAAATAACCGATAGGTGGCGCAGAGAGATTCACACTATAAACAAAAGGAACTCAAATTAATCTGATTCTTTTAACATAGATTCCAATACTTTAATTTCACCATATGATCAGTGCTGAGGATACTCTATGATGATAGCAAGACCTGAGTGGGAGTATAGAAGAGGTCATTCATGAGACTCCCCTACTAGGAAAAGGATGTTTCCACTCCCTTCTCTTTATGCATTTCTCTTTTAAATTCCCCATATAAAATCTAAATAAAGCGGGCATTTGTTATAGCCTTGTGTTTTTTTTATGGGGATAAGACTACCAAAAGATAATGACACGGGATTGAATTGGAAAGAGCGTTGTCTCTTTGGGAGTAAATGAAAGTTTGTCTAAAGTAATTGGATAATTTTAGCTCATGTTTCGTAGTGTTCGTCCCTTTACACTCCTTCTCCCCAGGCCGACATTGATATTAGCAGCAAAGTGCAATACTTACGTTTGTTTTATCTTCAATAAATAAACATCTCTAACACGGTTTCTTTGTCGCCAAAAATATATAATTGTAACTAAACTTATAATATACGAAAAATACTAAAAATAAACTTTTTGGGAAAAGATACAGGACTTCATATTGTTTAATCTTCATTGGCTAATTTACTATTAATGTAAATACCAAAATCCCTTTAAATTTTAATATACATTGCAACACATGATATTCATTGAATCACTTCACTTCCTACTAATTACCCTAACCATACGAATATATTAAAGTGTATAATGAAAGCCTTAGCAATGTGATATACACTTAACAGGCATATACTGTTTGGTACACCACAGATTTAAATAAAAGGTTATCAGTGTACCAGGATTAATGATCTATGTCATGTGCAGGTAATTTACTTTTACATTAAGTCACCAACTCGCCTCTCGTCAGTCCACATGCCAAAGGAACCACCAAGCTGGTTGGCTGTAGAAGTGAGGTGACAGGAGTTATGACCTCACATAATAAGTGTTACCGTCACTGACACCGTTATTTACTGAGGGTGTGTGTTAGTTAAATAGGTGTACACAGGTGCAGCCTCTTACCTCCCTACACACCCTGCAGTTGTGAGGTGAGGTGACCTGTTTCTCATGACAAGGATTACCGCCAGTTACCATTTAGACGGACACGTGTGCTCTTGAGTTGATACAATAAATATGAATGTTTTAAGATGTTGATGTAACTTTTCCCATTAAAAAATCCCGGTAAATTTCAAAAGTCTCTTGCCCTGGACAAGTAAAACCAGAGAGAGATCTGAACAACAAGTGGTATGAGAAGATGAATGGCAACTGTGGTTTAACGTGTGCATTTGTAAAGTCATGCACTATAGTAAAAGGAAAACCACAACAACTACACCATGAAACCAAATATCCCAATAGATAAGCTCTAAAAGACTTCTCACAATAAAGACTTACTTTGTTTAGCAAGGCCCTAAAATTCTCTAAGATTGTCGCAGCCGTAGCAAATAAGGCGATCAGAGTTGTGAGGGCTATCCGTAAATCGTTCAGATATATGGATAGTCCAAAATTTCTTCAGCTGTTTAAGTCACTGGTGAGTGGCTTCCTTGAGTATGCCAACACGGCGTGGAACCCTGCACGGATGAGCAACGTCACATTCAAAAAATCTCCAGGGACGTACAACCAATTAAACTAGTGCCAGAACTCAAAAGATAAAACCAGCTCAGAGAGAGTGGAGTCTTTGGACTACCTGCGGTTGTGAGGGAGATAATTATCAGATCATCAGATGTACTGTACTGCATAAGAAACTGCATGGTTAGACCACACAGATTCCTGAAACTGGCACGAGATCAAATCACTAGTGGGCACAGCCTTAAACTATAGAAAGAGCAATGCCCAACTGACCTAGTCAGAGTGGTAGATTCATAGAACCAACGCCCAGAGAGTGTCGTTATTGTGCAGGCACTGGAACAATCAACCATGCCTTAATGACTACCGAGACTACAGTATAACTGCATAACATTAATTGTATATTTTCAGTAATATAGGTGGGTCCTTTGTGGCATAAAAAGGACTACCTATCCTAGTCCAGGGCCCGATAAGGAAACATTGAGTAGATGTGTTCTTAAGACGTGCGTATCGTTACGTTACATTGGGTTAGCGTGACGCACCCAAGCCACCCATACATACTTTCAGTTTATTGTCGACCATGGCTAGCACTTTATCCTTCTTGGTAAGGCGCTTACTGCTCTTTGGGGTTGTAGTGGATTCCTCCCCTACAAGCATCGAACCTTCTCGAATTCCCCAGCCTACGCCTCCAGCGCCGCCCACGGAGCGGGGTTCAACTATCTACCCACGCCTACCCCCGCCTTATAAGGCCTGACACCGCTGTGACCGCTCTCTTTCTACCCAGTGCCACCAGCAAGCAACACCTCCTCCTCCGCACCGCTCCCGCCGGTGACCTCGGCGTCCCTCAAGCCGCGTGCTCCTCTGGGCACCCTCACCAATCAGTTCTCTCCTACTCAACGCTTGTTACCATGCTGCCTAACCAAGCACCACGTCCTACCGACCCCAACACACCCGTCCTGCCTCAGACGCCGCCCCGGCCCAGCAGTACCCCCTGCCGCTCCACCTGATGCGTTCCCTGCTCCTGACGCGGACCCACACACCCCTCTTTTCTCCCTCAGGTATCCCCTGCTACTGTCATGCACCCTGCTGCTGTCGTGGACCCTGCTGCTGTCATGCACCCTGCTGCTGTCATGGACACTCTTCCTAATGCAGCCCCTGCTCCTGACCCAGGACCACACACCCCAGCAGGCGCATCTGAGGACTCTGTACCTGTCGCGAGGGAAGCACAACATTCATCACCTCCACAACCCCCCTTCTCCCTCTTTTCTCCCACAGCTGTCGTGTAGCTAGACAGAGTTGCCCCCCCTAGCGACCGGCTCATCCACGCCCTCGCCGTTCTGCCTCACATGTGGCACACAACCGTGCCAACCTCCAGCCTCACCCGGAGGGGAAGGGGAGTATTGTAGTGGATTCCTCCCCTACAAGCATCGAACCTTCTCGAATTCTCCAGCGCAGCCTACGGAGCGGGGGTCAACTATCTACCCATGCCTACTCCCGCCTTATAAGACCTGACACCGCTGTGACCAGTCTCTCTTTCTACCCAGTGCCACCAGCAAGCAACACCTCCTCCTCCGCGCCAGCCTGGCGGCTCCCGCTCCCGCCGGCGACCTTGGCGTCCCTCAAGCCGCGTGTCCCTCCTCTGGGCACCCTCACCACCCAGCTCTCTCTACTCAATGCTTATTACCATGCTACCTACCCAGCAACAAGCTGCATTGTACATTCAATACAATATGTATACAGTGAGCACATTGTGAGTTTCCTTTCTCCATCCCATCCTGAGTGTGAACCAATATCTCATAACCCCACAGGGTCTTACCCAAACTTACCGTACTTGCTTGGGCTTTGTTCTCACAATGTGTGATATTTTAACGTATTTATGTGTCATGAGAGAACAAGCACATCTGCACTGAGTGCAATCAAGGAAAGGATTCTAATACTGTACTAATTTACTACAAAAGGATAGCCCACTGCTTTGGATGAACGCGTTCACCACCTACAGTGGCGCCGCCAAGCGGCTGGGGAGTAAACAACAATTACCAGGCAAGGAATAAAGGAAGCATTAAGAAAATTTCGGGGAAATCGTTATTTTTTTGTTTTGTGCATTACTTTGTAGCAGCTGTAATGGGGTTCCGGTACTGGGCAGCTATTACTTGCTCTAGCAATTCCTTAAGGAACGGAAACATTTTTCTTTCGATTTCCTAAAGATAAAAAGGGGAGACGTACACCTACTTTTGTTAATGTTTTACTTTTATCCTCTTCGCCACTGATCGGCTCCTTAGCCGCTCGGGCCCATCTGTCACGTCTCTGTTACGCACTGTTGACTATTCATTATTTTATATGAGCTCTTTCTTTATTTAATGCATATAGTACTGATAACGTTCCACTCTTCAGAATTGCTATTTAACGTCACAGCAACATTAGAGTATATAAGATATGCAGGATACTGTTGTATTCTCGAAAATATAGGCTGGAACTTTGAAGTTTTGGGTCATTATTCGCTTTAGGACCAGCCACGACTTTTTGGACGCAATTATAAGTTTTTCCAGTATATTTCGATGTATTTTGAATGGATTTCATACTAATTTCTTGGGCAAATTCATGAATTCCTTACTAAAACAAACAGTAGGGAGAAACACTCAAAACAGAACCAATGATCCAAACTAAACGAAATCTAACTTGACCTATCTAGCCTAACTTAACCTTACCTTTGTCTAGGTAAATTTGTGTCGTTTCACGAAAAACCATCTCAAAAATTTATGTTTTCCTGTCACAGGTATCCCTAGCTACATGAATGTTTGCTCTGCAAATATTCGCTTATAAAAATATTCTCTTCTTACACCTCTTTTTCCCTATACAAAAGATATGGTCCCTTAAGCAAGGTAATGTTGTAGTGGATCCTATCCTCTACAACTGACGACTGAGCTGTCGCGCGCCTACCAGCCAATCAGCATACAGCCAGCGATGCTGGTAGACCTACTCCCCGGTGCGGACGTACACGTAGCAACCTCAGGATCAGAGTGCCGGGTACTTCTGGCATTCTCCTCTGTGATTGGCTCTCGCGCTACATGCACCTCAAATCCTGATGCTTCAGAATTGTATAAATACGGGCGTGGCTAGCCAGGCATAAAATTGCAACACTTGCTAAACATACAAACACCTGACATAAAAATAACACCTTAGACGAAAATTAGCTGAAACACAAACATGAGAAAACAGAAGCACTTGGGTTGAGCCCCAAGACCTAGCATTCTACTACTATTTTCCAATTTCCTCGCTTTTCTTCTTGCACTATCCACCAACCCCAAGTCCCTCCAAATTCCACCATCATTCTTCAAGTCCAGTTCCCGCACCACCAATATACGCACCAGCATCAAGATCTCTTCATAATTTACTTCACCCAACAACTCGACTCGGGAGACCATTCTACTCTGACCTACTGGACCAGCAAGACCTCTCTCTACAGCGCCTCACCAACAGCTCCCTCAGAAAGCTCCTCGCCCAACAGGACCTCTGAGCAAGCTACTCCTCACCTAGTAACTCCTTACTTTTATCTTTTACTTTTATCCTCTTCGCCACTGATCGGCTTGTTAGCCGCTTGGGCGATCGGTCACGTCTCTGATTACTTTTCCTTTTCATTTATCTTCTTCACCAAAAGATCGGCTCGCTAGCCGCCCGAGTGATCGGTCACGTCTCTGTCACGCACTGTTGGCAAATACTGGGCATGCACCGGCTCCTGAATGTACCTGAACCCGCTCCAGTGTTGGTCAAGCACTGCACTGTACAACAATATATATATACAGAAAACGCATTGTGAGTTTCTATTCTACCTCATTCCTGAGTGTGAGATATCTACATGTACGTATGTTTGTGTGCCCATACAAAGAGACAAAAGACAACTAAAGAGAATTGACAACTGGCCACATACCGTACGCTACAATGTATCAAATTTATATTTCATTATTTTCTTAATGGCCGAGGTGCTAAATTACAGTAATTGGGTACTAAATTATATATATATATATATATATATATATATATATATATATATATATATATATATATATATATATATATATATATATATATATATATATATATATATATATATATATATATATATATATATATATATCTTGATAAAATCACACGGAAAATGGAAACAACGGAGTGATTTTATCAAGATTTATCTTATCCACGTTATTGTGATTTACATTATATATATATATATATATATATATATATATATATATATATATATATATATATATATATATATATATATATATATATATATATATATATATATATATATATACATACATACATACATACATACATACATACATACATACATACATACATACATACATACATACATACATACATACATACATACATACATACATACATACATACATACATACATACATGTACATACATACATATATATATATATATATATATATATATATATATATATATATATATATATATATATATATATATATATATATATATATATATATATATATATACACAGTTGGTCCTCATATTACGCGGTCCCGCATTCCGCGTTTCACCGTTAACGCGGTGCCTTGCCAGAACCTAACATTTTCACATTCCGCGGTCGTGAACCCCATTACGCGGAGAGCGGCTGGCAAGCCGCGCCATTTTTGGATCCAAACCTCCCGCCATCCGCCATGTTGTGTAAGAGGCGCGAAAATGGTGCGCACAAGGTCGCCCAGTCATCAAAACATGACCAGTTCTTCACCCGCCACCCACTACAGCCGGCCCAAGTCAGTGATAGTGATAATTATAGTGAGGATATGGACTTATATGAACTTTGGGGGGTTTGACAAAGAGGCCCTGCAAGCCTCTGTGGTGGATAGTGATACAATTGATACAAGTGATACAGGTGAGGGCCAATAATCTGCCCTCTGCCTCGGAACCAACCGCCCATCCCCGTGTGCCCAGCCATCTTTTCTACTAATGTAAGTGTTAAAAAACCTAATATTATTGATATTTCTCTTAATTATTAATTGTGTGTGCATGCCATCATAAAGTTAAGATAATATTTTTACTACAACATAGTTGTGTGTCGTCAAAAAGTGGAGTTTGGGGATCGGCCCGGACTCCATTTCAATTAATCCCATATGTTATGTTATTCACTTTACGCGTTTCTCACTTTCCGCGGTACCCTCCGGGTTACATTAACCGCGTAATATGAGGACCAACTGTACAGTATATTTAATATTAACTTTAAAAACTCCGGTTTATGGTAACCAGAGTATATAAAAAAAGGAACCTTCAATGTAAACTTATCCATAGATTTTGCAGTGCACCACTGACATAGGTCTTCCGGTAAGAATCAGGAAATTTTAAATTCAATTATGAAAAACAGAATTGCAAATAATTTTGCATAAAAAAAAATTAAATCTGCATGAGTCTATAAGCTATGCACTAGTGTTTAAAAAGATTAGTGCTTGAGAGAAATTGCATTAATATGATTGGTTATGAACCCTGAAGGTGGGAAGAGCATTTCTTTTAAGAGACAAATCTCATTCATATCTTGACTGAAAGTGGGTGCCATAGGCCTGAAGTCCATTAGGGGAATTGTGGACCCTGCAGGCTCTATACTGTACTAAGCCTTTGCCCCCCACCCCCTCCTCCAAAAATAGAGGCTGGAGCCGTCTTCCATTTCCTTTTGCTTCCTTAACTGTTATGGTAGGTGTCCATTCTGCACTTGGGATGCATTGAGGCACCTCACTCAGTGTCTGGCCACAAGGACTTGAAATCAGCATTTGCTGTGCAGGTGGTAAGTGCTATATCCACTGTCATTGTTTCCCTAATGATTTCATTTACCCTCTCCAGACCTTATGATCAGAAAACAACCAACATTGATCTTTAAATATTTTTAATCACTACTGGTTAATCCACAGCATAAGACACTATGCTGTACTACATTTATTGGGTTGATTTTCGGGGTTGCCGTTGAGCTTATATTTACACCGGCTGCTTTTCCATTGATTATATTTAATAAGTTAATCTAAAGCACAAATAGCATTTGAAAGCACTGCATGAATAAGACATTATCCTTATCAATTAACTTTTACAGGCCAGGGACATCCCAAACAAAAATATTTTAAATGTTTAAAATAATCCTACAGTAAATACTGCTAAAGTACAAAGATCCCCCTCCCTTAAAACACAGCCTTCTAATATACATGTACAGGTATAGGCACTGCTCAAGTGATACAAACAAACCCACCAAAGCACTTTTCAACTGCATCATCAGAATGGTGCAGGAAGTCAGTCGTCACTTATCAACTGATAACAGCTACCTAAACTATCATTGACACGCACATTCAATAACACTTGCATACAAATGCAGTAGATACAAATTTACCAAGTGACATAAAAATATGCATGGAATGCTGAAAAAAGTAAGGAATTCATCAAATCATTCTAGCCGAGAGATATACGTACAATACTTTCTTCAATATAACTTAAAATTAAAAAAATTAAAAATAAATACCTATGGTGGGTTTATGTTTGATATAAAACTCGATGAAAAGTTTTATACAGTGGGTACTGTACAAAAAACTTTGCAACAATACATTCATATTAAGTGTATACTTAAGTCTAAATTAAATATGGCAATTTAATGACAAGTAACATATTATACTGATAATATAAACTTGGTATAATATTTCATAAAGCAAATGGTTACAAGCAACATAGATACTGACATGAGAGAAATAATTGCTAATTTAGAGACAACCATTATGGAGGAACATAGGAAAATAATGCAAATACGCTATTGAATACAATGAATGATACAATACATTAATAATTTTTTATTGAAGTTTAGAAGCACTGTGTTTCCTTAACATGTACACCAGACCCTACAACTATCATAAATATATTTATATATATATATCTTTATTTATATCTTTGGTGCTTGACGGACTTGGTCCAAATGAGATGAATAAAAAACACCTTTGAGCTTTGTAGCCTAGGAACATTTCCCTAAAATAGCTATTTGAGTATCATTGGAAGATAGAATATTAATCATCTATGCATGGAAAACTGTAGTATTGTACTGTACTGTACTGGAAGGCCAGACAAGTGCTGGTTTCACTGTCATTCTCATAATGTGTGAAGCTGAATGGAAACTCTTGACTGCAATCTTTGTATAATGAATTGTCAAAATCCTAAATACTAGTGTGTTGAGAACTTCACTACTTTGCAATAACTTTATGAAGAGTAATTAGTGATATTCCAATTTGATGAAACAAAAGATAATAATTGTGTGGCTTCATTTTGCAGTACTGTACTGTATTCAACAGAATAGTTGTCATAAGATGGACTAAATAATTGTCATAAGATAGAATTTCTCTACAGTAATGTAGCATCTAGTAAAATAAAGTACTGTACTGTACCATATTTTTGTTACAGGAACAAACATCAACAAAAAATCTGGATTAAAGAAATTAAATTAATTATGAAACTAGATAATATCTATGACCACTTGATTTTATGTACCATGTATATAATCAATGTTTATCTATTACCAGCTGTCACTTTAGAATTCCACCAGAATACTGTACATGGAAAACATGATGGCACCCGATTTATCTACATACATAAGTAATTTATTTATATCCTGTTAGGATGAATCAAATTACCTAGTTTTTAAGGTATTATAGGTTATAACATTAATAGTGCATGCAATTTTTTTTTCTAAAAGAGGCAATGAAATAAAACAGGATATGAGAAATCGTTTAACAAAGATATTAGTGTCCACGTTAAGCTAAAGTGAGGCAAGATGGGTGCTGTTACCTTGTTTCTTAACTGTTAGTATTGATGATGTAAGGAGATTATGGCTTTGAAGTTTTGGGAAAGAATATGAAACAAAAAGTAGTGAAAGTTACAATATCACTACAGTTTAAACAAATGATACTTACAGTTTATTGCAATAGTTAAAACAGCCCATGGGAATTATAAGAAGCAGATAAACATTGAAAAACAAAGAAACATTTTTAAAAATAGTAATGCAAAGTGAAATCCAGTACCTGTATGAAAGACTGGACATCAACTGAAAAAGTCTAAAAATTATCTACTAAGGCAGGTCAGACAAGAGCAAATACTGATACTGTATTAAATATTGTATAATGACTAAAACCATATGAAGCTTATTTATATTTTCAACTACAGTAGCTGATAAAATAATTCCATATGTAAAGCATCTATATCAGCCACAGGCATATTACTGTCTCACTTCCTACATTGAATTAAGAAGCTATATACTGCAAGAAGGCACTGATAAACATTTTAATATATTAGTCACTAATTGGAAAATAGTAAAAATTATTAGTTTATCCTCTATGAGGGACTTAAGGATTTCATTCACCACAGGCTAATATAACAATTCATCTGGGGCAGCAAATTTAAATCTTTGCCAGGGATGCTTGCTGGGTCAGTGTCTGGGGATGGTGGTGATGACATGGTATGGCTGCAGGGACTACAGTATGCTCACTAAAAATTTTCTATCAGCAGGCTGGCTTAAGTTTCTTATCAAATACCTTCCTCACCATCTTTCCATATTACAGGCAATTATTTTCCTGACCTATGTAGTCATTCATACCCATATAGAGGACTGATGGAACATCTCTCTGCATTTTGGCAGTAAAGTATCCCAATAACTGTCCAGATAATAATGTGCCACAGTTATTGAAAGTAAATACTGTAAATACCCACTGAAGGTTTGGTAAGAAATGTATCCTTAATACAGTAGACACCTATGTCGTGATACAAGAGACCACAAACAACTTTACATCCCTCCTAAAGCTTGATGTGATAACATTAAACTTTTAATTTTTTTTTAAATAAACCCACATCATGACATTTATGAAATGTAATAGAATACTGAAGTAAATTATACATGTGCTCTAAAGCGGTGTTATTTACCATCATGTTAGACGCAAAGTGAAGAATATACAACTGAAATTAAAATACCATATCTGCAGTACATTATGCCAGACATTAGAATTTTGACGATGAATATATCAGCCGTAGCAAACCATATCTTTCACATGGCCTTCAAAATCTATTAATCATGAGAGTACCATTATGCAGATTTAACATACATCAAGATTTTGTCCTATATTTCTATGAATTTTTGGAAAAAGAAAAAATAAAGTCTACAGCGGGAGTAGCACCACAAAACTCAATTGACAAAGATTTAATTCCCTTATCAAATATACAAGTAAACACTGTTACTGTATAAAGCCAAGTGTTTATTTCTAATATACATGAATCTTTCATGATGGGGTCACTAAGAAAGAAATAACAGGTTATAAGCACCAATACTGTTAACAAGATAAGATACTGGTCGTGTAAAATATTAGTTGAGGTAATGAAAGGGCTATCATAAAATCCTTGGTGGTCTCGGACATTAAAGTTTTATGTACAACTAATACTCCAATTTCCTATATTTCTGATCAACTGGGAAGTCTCCATTGATAAAAGTGCAAACTACATATATTAAAGTCATTCTTTACCATCATCATCATGTGTTTTATGGCCATTTTCAATGTTTGCATGGGTTAGCCACGTATGAACAAGTTACTTCATACATTTAATCAGAATACCTTTATTAATAATGGTGTTTCTAATTATAAGTCCGGTAAATGAAAAGTATGTAATCACCCAGATACAAACACTGACATATGCAACCGCTCCCTCATGCATGGAGGGGTGCCCCTTGAGGTTTTATATCTCACTGTTTAACCAGAACTGCCATGGGAACCAGCCCAGTGAGCCCAGGTATTGAACACAGGGCAGTAGTGCCATTAACGTGGCAGAATGCATGGACACAACTCCTACAATATAGGAATTCTGAGTATCAACTACTGAATAAGGAACACTATCGAAAATTTCATTTTTTCGCCCCCCTAGGCCCCTTTGTGGGTCGATGACCTGTGTCCGGGTGGGCTATTCCCAGTAAAAAAAAATCAACATCATGGAACATGCAAAATCTGCCTCAAATAATTTGCTACTAACTACAGTACTGTATTACCTTTTAAGTAATGCGTTTTAGGCTCAACCACAATACTGTATTCTACACATGATAAAGAGCAGTGCAAGCAGGTGTACCTATCAAATGTACGAAGGTGTGGGACAACCTTTGTCAACGAAACCCCAAAATTTTGCTGTCCTTAACACTTTACAATATGAATACCAGGCACTGTATATTGTTGGACAAATAAAGTTGGCAATAAAATAAAAATGTTGACAAAAAGTATGAAGTTTTCAGCAAATACAACTACGTACAGTACTACTTGGATTGAGTATTAATACTACTGTATATATAAACTTTACCCCAGCTCACTCCTTTTGTTCATTATATTGTGAACAGTATTCAATCTGATGCATTCAGTAGTGCATGGTGTTAAAGTCCCTAATGTGATGACACCAAAGCTAGAGAAGTGTCTGACAGGTGACATTAAAATAAGGTAACAGCCAATGATAGAAGACAGTAAGCCAATTATCAAAAGGGCTGCTCTCATCTGGTACCCCTCCCTTATCAAACTCAGTTACGTAACTTACTGGGGCTCACACACATATCATTAGAAACTTATGGTGTATTAGTATAAATGAAACAGGCAAAACATCAGCTTGTTTATCAATTCATAAAATAAAATATAAAATGGTGGGCAGCTGTATTGAGCGTTGCAGAAGTCTCTGATAATTACTGTATGTGTAAATAAAGAAGAATCCAAGCAGTACAGTATATATATTTGGGATTGACTCACCACAAAATCCCCGGCTTTCAATTCATTAAATGGCATCTTGGTTATGGAAATGTAAAAAGTACATCCAATTCTTTTTTTTTTTAAATAATTAAAACATCTTCCAAATTTCACGTGATTCAAGTAATGCCGTTGAGTTTGATGTTTTTGTATGAAGAAACTCTGTGACCGACACCTAAGAAACGTCCTCTGCAAACTGCATAAACTACTTTAATATATTAGAACAATTTAGAAGATATAAAAAAGCTGTATATGAAAATTAAAACCTGCAGAAAATTGGTATACTAAAAGCAGATTCTGGACAGCTGTACAGTATAAGTGTATAGCTGTAAGGTGTGGGATATTGTCATATATTGAATGATTAAGCCCGAATCAAGATTTTAGGGTTATATATTTTGTAGAATATTGTATTCATAATCTAGATTTCAAGAAACGTCAAATCAATAAAGTTCAGAATTAAATGTAAGATGCTTTCAATACTATACACTTCAGTAATACAAAAGTACAAACACATACACAAATATAAATATGTACTGTACTGTATATGGACTTATAAAGAAATGGAAATCTGATATTATTACAGTATATGAATGTGAAGTATGGATTCTGGTTGCTAGAGGTAGGAGCAAATGAAAAGCAACAGAAATGATGAGTTTGAAAGCAGTATGTGAGATAAATACTGTTGTGGTAGTGGAGTACCACAACACTTTATCAATTACAACAGTGGAATGACAACAAATGAAAGTAGAAGAATGTGTGTGCATTTGCTTTTCCTTCCAGTCAGCCAGCATTAAGCATACATTCATGAGTGATTACTGATATGAGTGAAGGACTAGGATCCCTTCTTGTGTGCTACCCCTGGCACACTTAACAATAAAATAAACTGTCATGTGCACATACCAATGGTGTAAGAACCCTTCTGCAGACCATTGTTTCACTAAGGCGAAGGGGTAAGCTACTCGTAGCTGTATTCTGTAGACAGTGAATTACACCGTCCCCTTGGTAAGATTCCACTATCAACATGAGTACCTAACAGTGTAATGCTCAGTGCAGAGGGGTTAGTGTACTAGGAGGGAACACAATTCTCAACTTTGTTAGGAAATTGGAAGTGACAATACAGTACTTATATTATGATGTAGGAAATTTAAAAAAAAATTTATTGAAACTATGACTTACAAGCTTACATTTTTTGGTTATGAAGAGACTGGCTAATATCACTTTCAAAAGAAAAGAGCAAAAGATAAAGCTTATATCAATATGGCATTAAACAATTTATAGAAAAAAGTGTTTCAAAAACAATGTTCTTCTGGCCTGTGGACTTAACCAGAACAAGTTTCTTACATGGAACTGCATGTTTAACTTGAGAAATGAGGGTTACAGTTAAATAGTTAAAGATGTGGGTCATAAACTTGTGGCCACTTGACTTTCCTAGATGATGATGAAATATGAACACTTAAATAAAATAACAAACACACTGTCCAAGAGGAAATTTAAAAACGAGTGTCCATGTTAACGCATCCCAAATGGGTTCTAAGAGTTTCATTACACCTCTTATGGATGAAGACTTCCAAGGAAAAATCTCCAGTCCAAGAATCACATAGCTTGGAAATCCTGACCTGATCATCATTACCCACTGACAGAGAATCAAAACACTACCTTTCACTGTGGGCATAAGAAAAGTGTTGAAATAATCTAGCCTAAGGTTTAAATGTAAAAAAATAACAAATATGAAAATACTGTGGGGGACTATGATACAGGACCAATGTTCTGAATATACCAATCTCTACACATTACTGTACTGTATATGCCATCAAAAGTATGCCTGACTCTTGCAACCCTAGATGTGTTACTCAATAATGATTTTTAGCTCTACAACTTTTACCCCCAAATTAACTTCAACCTTTTATACTGCATCAAAAATTTAACAGCCATCACATTTCTGCATATTAGTCACATACTACCTCCCCAAAAATGATTGCCCAACTGTTAAACTCTTGCAGAACTTCAATAAGTGTGAAATTACTGAAATATGAATCTCCCAATTACTACAAACAGGCAGACTCTGACTAAGTTATACAGATGTTTTTTGTTCTAGAATGCCCAGCAGTTAATCACTTTTTTTCTTTACAGAAAAGTATTTTTCAAGATGAGAATGTTTGACAGTCAGGTTTCCTAACGTGGCCTAGCCTCGTACAGTTATTAATCGTCCATCTTTGAAGAAGGTGCTACCTCCACACTCAGGGATCATTACAGAACAATATCATGAGTGGCAGCACCAGATGAGGTGTTCTGTCATGACAATGTATGTAAACAAGATTTGACAGTCAGTCCAAGCTTTATTACAGGGTAAACTGACATGGCAGCTGATACCTAGTAAATATCAATGCAATTAAAAGTAATAATCATTTGCTATCACAAGTAAGTCTGCAAAAATGAGACAAGAAAAAAATATTCATTGATCATATGAATTTTGAAGCAAGAAAACTCCAGTAACAACAATTATAAATCTGCTAAAAATGAAAGAAATATACCCAAGCCATTAATGGCCTTCATTAAAATATAGCTATGAAAAATGAAAACGAGCCAAAAATGAATCAAGCCATCACGCCCCTACATGTGGATACTTTGAGTTCTGATGGTTTTATCTGTGAAATTATATGAAAATTTGGCAGATCAGCTTTTCAAATATGGTGCTTCATTCTTTCTACATTTACTACTACAGACTTCAACTACCAAAAGTGTATCCCTCTACTTCTCTTGAGATTACGACAAAAACTAGTAGAATCAAAGCTTGAAAGCATATTACTTATTCACAATTCTTCTTGTCCAGGAAGACAATCTTGCCACCCATTTTAAAGTAAATCTTTTGTGGTCAATTTCAACACCACAATCTATAAAAAATGGTAATGAGGTTGAACACTACTCGACCATCATTATTTCCAGAAGCAAAGTTGAATTACTGACCAGTGTATCCATTCTTCCCAGCAGCAAGAAACAATTCTCTAAGCTCTTCTAGAAATTCAAATGATTCTTTACTTCAATATATGCAATACTATGTAAACAAAGTGCCCCAGATGATGCAAGGTGTTTTAACTTGAGGAATCCTGGAATATATTATGAATGCAATTACTGTACCTAAATTATAACCCCCCCCTCAAAAAAAAAAAATTATATAGAAATTTTTTTGCAGCTGAAATCAACGACAGAACAGATATTAAAAAATTAATTAATTTAATTCGCTACATGAATTTTTCCCTTTTTCTTTACTTTACCAAACAAGATCCTTCAACATGCATATTTTACCCCAACTTTAACTACACTTCCAAAGTATATTTACTTCTCTGAAGGTCCCCAATTCATAAAAATTCTAAACACAAGAATAATAATGAATTACACAAGAGCTTTTAAGTTCCAATGGTCCTCAGCATCAAAACCAAATACAGTACTTATGTTTTCTTATTTCCATACACAAATAGGTTTTGCAATACAAAATTTAATATAAATGAGTGTAGTATATATCTTTCAGTCTCAAGTGTCCCTAATGTAATATACAATATAAGTCAAACCCATAATATATGAATTATCTTTCTTGTAATAAGAGAAACATTATGATTTTTTTTCTCCCTACTTCTGACATACAGTATACTAACATCACTATCCCTCCATAGTCTCTTTAAAACTTTCTTACTTAAATTTACAAGAGATCCATCAACACTTTCATGTATTCTCCTGCTTTTCCAGGTAACACCACCTATGCAAGAAGGATGAGTTTATTGTAATTTTATTTTGTTTCACTTTTGAGTTGTTAATCTTAGTTGCCATACAGTAGTAAGTAATTCTAGTAATCTAGTTTCAGCAACAGACATGTTTTCACTAACATTTGATAGATTCTGTAAATATATAAATAGTAGTCTCTTTGATACACAATCACAGACTCAGGTGAGGCAAAATGATTAAAGTTCAATGTTAATACCTTTTACTTTTTAAGATAAATTTTATGGCTATCACATAACAAAGCACTAAACTTTGTCACTAACTGTAAATAAGAAATATTAATACTGTCTAAAAATCTGAATAAAAACCATGCCTAATTTTCAAAGCACAGGCTACAATATCTACATTTCCTATCAGGAGTAAAACTGTACAGAGAATAAAGGCAAGTTGTAATTCTTGATGTGAGAATCTTATGGGTGTTTGTACCCAGCACAAAGATTTAGGATGACAATATGAATTTACTTACACTTGACAGTGCATTATTCAACTTGCATAACACATTTTGCACAATGACCAACCATAGTACTGTACTTCACTTTAAGAAGCTCTTCCTGATACAGTATTTTAATATTGTGCAAGCATTTATATTTCCTTTACATGACATGGAAAGCTTAAGTTTCAACATTATTAAAAAATACCTTGAACAGAGATGTAAATAGCATCTACTGCTTGGCAGTATCACTGTCAATGCTATAGGTGGCACAGACAAACTAGTTCATGAAGCCAAGACCAATTACTCTAGCTTTAGGGATGAGCTGGCTATCACTCAATGTAGACCTTCTGTCGTCTAATTTTATGGAACCTCATTTTGGCGAGCTCTATTGTGTACTTGGTTGACCATTTTCTCTTGAAAGTCCCGCAAGAAATCTGAGAGCATGTTGTTATCTTCACCACCACCATCACGATCTATGTGCTCACTGAGACTAGCCACACGTAATCTGAAAACAACGGGAAAGAAAAGTATGTAACAAAATATTCTGATTTGGCATGCATGAAACAATACACATTGAATTTCTAACTGAGATAATATTTAAGTACAGTACCTCAAATTAATCTGATATGAACATTGAAATAAAAGAATTAAATGAGCGGTGAATATGAATTACAAAAGTACAACTGAAAGAAGGATGATAAAAAGGGAACAACTAAAATGAATATGAGACAAGTCAGAAATGGAGTTATTTTAAATCTCATGATGTGTCAATGCAGTTAAAACACTACATTCACTGGAAATGAAAGAGAAGTTATTAAAGCAGATCTGAAAGTGAAGTCCTAATCAGGTACACATTTTAATAACATATAGACATATGTTATCTTGTACATAGCATAAGGTACATAGTCTAATCTTATACAGGGTGTCCCATAAGTCTCCATACAACGAATCACCAACGCCATTACAAGCATAACTCCGGCTGTGCTTGAACGTGTTCTTCAGCAGTGGAGGACACACATTGAAGAGTGTTTTCAACAGAATGGTAGTCATGTAGAGCATATTATATAAATAATAATGGATTTTCATATAAAATTTATTTTTCCTATGTATGGAAATTTATGGGACACCCTGTATTTGAGTTCATGTAGTAAGTGCAACTTTTTATAATAATTTGGATAATCTTGCTATAAAGATGAAATACAGTTGATAAAAAATTATTTACTGTTAGTGTAAAGAAAATGAACAGAATTCTACTTACAGTGTTACAACATCTGGTTCACTGCTTTCAAGTGCTAGATCGATGGCCTTTTGACCATCGTTATCAGTTATGTTCAAATCAACCCGATGCTTAAGCAACAAGCAAACCTGTAACCATAACAAATTATTGAACCTAATGATTGAACATCTCAAGAAACTCGGCATCTACAAGGTCAAGTTTCAAGAAATGCAAAATAAATTAAAGATACTGTATGCAATTCATCAATAAAATTAAATGGGGTTTCTAATATTTTGTCATGCATAATTACACTATGACCTCAATGCCCAGCTAACTCTGTTTAATAGTGGCATCCAACTATGTTTCATTGATTGGCATTCCAAGGCATCATTGATGGTGTTCCTATTGTACAAGCTCACACACAGGCTGTTCCATGGGCCCCTGACATTTCACATAAAAAAATTGCTTGAAACAGTAAAAAAAATATATATATATATAAATAAATAAATAAATACAGTACTGTTAATAAATATTCAGATATAGCCCTAAAAACCATCATTTGAGTTTCAAATTTCAAAATCTTTTTGCAGGTTATCCCAAAACCTTCCCTATTGGAGTGAATATTCCCTTTCCATGAACTACAGCCTCAATTGTTTCCTTTATGCAGGTTGTACCTCTCTAGTCCGGCATTCTGTGGTCCGGAAACTCCCGTGGACTGGAACGATTTTAGTTTGTTCAATAGGTAGATAAGCAGGGTTTTTTTTTTTTATTATGTATCACAATTATTATTTTCGCCCCTCAGGCTCGAATGTGGGTCAGTGACCTGTGCCCGGGTGGGCTAATCCCCGTAAAAAACAACAACAATAAAGCCGCGAGAAATTAAGGTTTGTTTGCGTCTGGCAATTCGGCTCTCTCTCTCTGTTTGTCTATACAGTACAGAGTACAACATTTAACCCTTCAATATATATGAACAGTAAATAAGTGTTGCTTTCATATTCTTATGCAGAGTAATGACTATATGTTTTTACATGTGCTCACTTACATATGCGCAGTATCACTTTTTTCTTTAACATTAATGGCTTGCTACTTTTATTGTTCTATTTATTAACATTAAATAACATTACTTAAAACAACCATAATAATTTTTTACATTAATTTTACTACAGCTACAACCAGGGTCTTATTTTCTTGTTTTATATGTAGAACCAATCAGTCACTGGTTTTGTTATCAAAGAAAACAATGCTGTCTCATTTCCTCATGTGTTTAAATATTCTACGTATTATTAATGAATTGTATTGCTCATTTAGCACACACAAACATTAATTCAATAAAAGACATTCAGTAATAAACAATAATGAATCTTTTGTACATAAGAGAAATGACGCTGTTTACACGATTGTGCACGTCGTCTGAACGTTGGCGAGCCGTTCAAACCCATTGAAATTCGAGTTTCCGCCGTCAAAATTTTAAATTATGTTGTGTTTTTTTTTGTGTGTGTCCAAATAAAAAACGGTGAATTAAAAACTCGTGAAATTTGAGAAGCTACTGTACGACATTTAACCCTTCAATATGTCTTCAAAGAGACCACGAAGCAGCAAAAGTGGTGCTAACTTAAGTGCAAGTCACTATCTGTCCAGGAAAAGGGTGAATTTCCATGGTCCGGAAATTTCCATGGTCCGGCACCGGTCAGGTCCCGAGGTTGCCGGACTAGAGAGGTACAACCTGTATATGTTTCACGAGCTCACACATAAGAAATAAATGCATAGTTGGCATTTTATCTAATTTATCTTAGAAATTAAAGGTAACAGAGTACAGTAATCAAATTATTATACTGAAGTTCTACTTGAGATATACGGTCTGTCATAAGCACCATAGGAGTAAAAATTTAAATACTTCTGTACTATACTGTACAGTACATGTAAGTGTACAGTATTATATAAAAGCATGAGAATATCAAATTTGACCAAGACAACTTCAAAGAATGAGTAATAATGCTCCTAGGAATGAACAGGGAAAGTAATTTGCTAAGAAAACACAGTATATACTATTTTCATCAGTGAAACCTGTAATACTGTACTTTAATTTGTTATTAACCTAAAAAGTGTAAGGAGTCAGCTCAGTTCTGAGTTGGTTCTCATTCCATCATATAGAAGTACAGTTGAAGAAATGTGTTCCTACACTCCCTGTGGTAACCGGAGTCTCCAAATAGCAACGTCACAGTAGTAGTATCATTATTTATGAATGAATGGGTATTGGTCACGTAACGATGGACGTCACTGGTGAATAGGTTTGCTATAGGTCATATAGGTTGGCCATTTGGAGACACGGGTTACCACAGGGAGTATAAGAACACATTTCTGTAACTGTACCAAAAAGCAATTCAATACAAATACATGTTGATAAGCCTCCTACTTTCATTGGTAGTTATATAATAACAATACTGGCACAGTAATGAGTTTAGGGTGAAGGTATTTTACTCATCAAATTATATCCCCCCAGAAGGTGGGAAATATATTTTTTTTATTCCCTCATCATCTTTTTCCTTACATATAGCAAAAAATGATCACCATTCCTCAAATTTGGTTCAATGAATGTAAACACCTACAGGCTTGAGCCAATATCCACAAAGTTCTGAACTTTTTTTTTTCTACATTGTAGCACTTTTAGGGATTTTATGAGTCAAAGTATAGATTGGTTTTGGAAACAACACTTAATGACAAACATTGGCAAAAATAACCTTTCTTATAGGATCCACACAATGAAAAAAATCGTTTATGAGGAGTTAAAGTCACAAGAATGCACTTTTAGAGTTCTGGTTCATTATTCTACTGTTCAGTCAACAAAAACATGATCACGCCGCTTTCCATACTTTTCATTCTGTTACAGAGGATGAAATGTTTAGATAACCTGGCTATGCTGAAGTGTTGATATGTGTTGCCTCATGAAGCAATTTGTTTGTATGTATTCAAATAATATTGAAAGTTAAGAAAATTTCACACAGAATATCACTTTTGTTTGTATCCCTGGATTACAACGATGTTTACTAGTGAGCGGGGCGAAAGCATGACATTTCATACCTATTATTTAATTGGAAGTCAGACAGATCTCAGACATTTAAGAACCTCTTTAACGCGAACACGTACTCGAAACATTGTTTGGAACAATGCAGCAGACACGTTGGTCAAAGCTGTTATAGCGTTACTAGCAACCAGTAATATTTGAGAGCCTCGTCCACACCACTACTAACACTGGTACCAACATGTTGATTATGATTGTTACCAAAATATGTCCTGTGTGTGTCTTTTATGAAAATAATTGCTGGTGACAAATCTCGGCGACTCCATTTACCTACCACTTCAGTTGCTCATGCGTAATAAATGACTACGTATTCCACATTGAGTCACATGAACCAACATCCTCATGCTTGAGTCAAAATAAGTGAAGGAGGTTATGGAGGGGTATCTTTTTCACAAGGATAGAGCTTTGAAATACTATATCATCAAAATGTGGAAGGGAAATACCACATAAAGTATTCTATTTCAGTTAGTTTTTCTGTCTACTTGTTGGTTTTCTTTCATAACATTGAAAATGGTAGCCCTTCTGTTTCAGTGTCATACAGTCCTTTCCTATTCATCTATTATTCCAATATTACAGAGTAATCGACCGTTGATTTTTGGTATAAATAGAAGGCTATTATAATACAATAGAGTTCAGTACCATACACTACATCATAAACTTTTGTACAATAAAGGATATTAAGGGTATACAATCAGAGGTGCCAACCCAATACATACCATGAATGGCTGAAGTATTTCTCATTCCCAGTTCCAATAAACCACAGGAATACAAGAATTTTTTTGTTGAGTGTACATACAAGAACCTACCTACAACTTGGTACAAAAACTTCTTACTACAGCTTCCATACAATTTGAATAATTTGTCGTTTTGACCATTTTACTTACAGGAGTCAAGTCACCAACAAAACATGAAGGGCAAGTTGAAATAGCTTGCAAATGGTGGCCTCTTTCACAAAAAAATTAATCATGGGTAGTAAGACCAAAATACTCGTAATCAAGATAAATACCTGGCCAATGTTAGACTTTAGCGATGCTAGATGTAAAGGTGTGCGTCCCTCTGCGTCCTGCTCATTAGGACGTGCCCCATTTATTAAAAGGTGCTGTACCGCCATTACAGAACCCTGGAAAGAGAGATATCATTTGACACCAGTTCTGGATTTGGTGACATTTATAAATACAAATGGAGTGTGGTGACTGAGTGGATACAGTATATTTTTGGTGACTGAGTGGATACAGTACAGTAAGTCCTCGCTTAATGTCGGCCAGCTTAACGTTGTTTCAGTACTACGTTGCTAAACTTTAGAGACCAAAAATTCGTTTAACGTCCCGGTAACTCGATACAAAATCGTTTGCATCGTCATCGACTACTTTTTACAGCGCATCACCCTCTCCCTTAGGACAAATATTTCATTTACCCTTTTCACAATATGTATTTAGGATGGTGTGCGCATGTAAATGAGTAAAAATAAATGAAGAAAGTTACTACATCTACCGAAAAATAAGTTGCAAAACATGTACAGTACTTAAATGAACGTAAGGGACCAAATTTTTTATCTCTATTGCAAAATATATGATGTCTATATTCATATTTTTCGTTGTCTTGCAAGGATTCCAACAATGCAATTTATATTCTGCTAACTTTAGTCTGTGCCATTTTATAAGATAAAAACTTTAAGCCTATAAAACCATGTCACCCTAACTGGAAGTCGGAGGGGAGTTGATTTATCATGACAGCTGGGCTGGAGCACAGACAACAGTCACCTAGTGGTATTTATTTATCTGTCATGTAGAGGATGTAGAGGAGTTTTGAGTTTTTCTCTTATAAAATGTCAATGAATGTGACTTTATTGTAATGCATACAAGCACTTCACCAGGCATCACACAAGGAGCTTTGGATTTATGTATATGTAATGTATTTCATGGGGTAAAGGGAGGCTCAGGAATGTAACTCCCATATTTTATCTATTTCTTATGGGGAAAAGTGATCCGCTTAATGTTGTTTCGTATAATGTCGCATTTTCAGGAACGTAACCCCGACGTTAAGCGAGGACTTACTGTATAGCACTTGCCTTGTGTCCTAAAAATGGCTACCATATTTTCTGCCTTATAAGACACACTTTTTTCTCCTGAAACAATCATCGAAACTCACCCAGCATCTTACATGCTGAAGGTTAACCTTAGGGGGATGAGGATACAACTCTTAAGCAAAGCCAGTAATATTTAAGGACAGTAGCTGGTTTATCTAGCCACACCTAAAAAAAAATATCTATAAGAGAACTTATTTCTTTCCCCACAAATAAAGCAAACTGGGTGGAGGAATAGTACTTTTCCTACTCAGTTTTTCTAAAGATAATGTAAAGATAGACGTCGCTGCTGCAGCCTGTACATGAAGGCTGCTGCCATTTTTGTTTATATAATTATGGTACTGTATTTCATTTCATATTAACTTAAGAGGAAACAGCAGCAGCATGTATAAAAATGTTCTTACATTTAAATGGCATTTAAGCATACTGTACAAACATATCCAGGTAAATATTTCCATTATAACATTTGATAAAAGCTTTCATATACTGTTCTTCACTGCAAATAATAGTAAGAGGAACCTAACAGCAACACATGCAATACTTAGCAAGTAGACTGACATACATGTTTAGATATAACAGAAAGCATGAAGAGGATGTAACAAGAGAAACAGAATAATAAATTGAAGTTAATGGAGAATGAAGGTGCTATGTCTGATACCTAAGACAGCCTTGATGTATAAAATTCATTACTGTAAAAAAAAAAAAAAAACATTCATACTAACACTTATAACTGCCTGGTGCATCGGAGTCCGTCCACTCTCGGCGGGATTATGCCAATTCTTGTTGGCTCCCAATGCTAAACAGCAGCTTATCATTGCCAGGTTATGAGCTTCACAGGCTCGGAACAATACCAGGTTGGGAGTTATGCTTGACAACGGCTCTACAGTTACTGCAAAGAAAATGCAAATTACCCATGTATTAATCCGCAAAATATAGTACTATTTTTTACTGTATTCACCACCAAAACTAACCTGTGACTAAAAAAGCCCCTGATTTTCTCACTCTTTTAAACCATTTACTGCTCTAATACAGGGGGACCAGAATCAAGAACAAATACACACACACACACACTCTCGAATTACTTATTCTACCCTTGCAAGAAAGAGATGAGTTCTGCTATCATAGTACTCCTTTTCCACATCAATGTCCCAAATAACTATCTAGTTTATGTTTGTTGCCTTCCCAAAAATCAACTGACACCATAATCCCTGGTTATTCATGAACATTACTCTGCATAAGGTGTTCATCCCCTTTACATTTAGTGAGTTCATTACCTAATTATTCCATCTCCTCTTTCCTGCATCCACCCCTGAATTATAAATATAACTTACAACGAACAATAAGTAAATGATTTAATAAATAAAATTACCATGGCCAGTGGGATCTTCACCATCTGTTGAGTTGTCATCACTTAAGCCAGAGAGATCTTCAGACACCCTGTCTGGGAGTGAAGGCGTAATGTCGAGTAATAACAAGTCATCACAACCAGAACTGCTTGCTACTGGGCTATTAGTCCTGAAATATTCATATCTTGAGTTCAGTAATCTATTCATATAATAGCTGACCCAATTCACCAATTTATAGTGATGTATTTAACACATATATATGATAGTATTATAGTTCTTCAAGAAAAGGTACAAGACTGATGTGCCTCTCTTGTCTTTAATTACTGAAAGCAGCAAGAACAGTAATACACAATACTGTACTGTAGTTGAAAATAATCTCTGCCCACTGACTTTTGGCAAACTTTCTGAAACTTACACATTTGGGGTTTCAGTTTGAGATTCTTCTTGGCTACTGCAATTTTCTTCAGCACTGGAAGTTTCCTCAGCATTCAATGCTTGCAGAGTTTTCCTGCGACGTATGTGCCGTCTCCTACGAGGGATGCTCCAAGTTTTTTGAGACTGAAGCTACAGAACACCCAGTAAATTTTAAGAATCAAAATAAGAATTACGAATGGTACCAAAAGACAAAAAAACATGTAGCATAACAGACTAATTCCCATAAACTAAAAATGAAAACCATACTGCACTGTATTAGAAAACTAAAAACTTTATATTATAAAGAAAATGTGGACATGCATAACAATTAATCTTGAATCAATATCACCATCAAGCTTGTCATCATTCTCCTACAACTGCCATATAACAACCTCCTCAAAACTCACAGGAAGACAAGTAGACTCGTCATTCACACTACTGTGTACACAGTCACTCTGCCAATTGCCTGATTGTCCAATTACTCCTCCTTTACTCTCACGTAATACATGTATACGGAAAAGTGTATTACATGTATACAGTATTTTGTGAAGTAGAATTTTTTTTACATACTTTACAATCCAGCATCTTGCTTTTTAGTTTTAATATAATCCTCTTTCATCCTTTGTACAATGGGTGGGAAAAAATAAAATGCAATGACAAACTAACCCTCTATAATGCTCTAGAATCTTAAAGTTGCTTTGTCTAAGGGGAGTTATTTCACCCCCTGAAGTACAGTACAGCATAGGCAACAAAATATTGAATGAGAAAGTAAAACCTACATTTTCTTGAGAACTGGAAGTTTGTAAGGAAGAGTTGGATTCAACCTGTGCTATTGGCAGTGGCTTCACAAAACGACGTCCTACATACTTGGCCTTAATCCACTCTTCACGTACTGACCTATAAAATGAAAAACAAATACATATATTTAACAATCTTTGCAATTCTTTTCTGTGTATAGCTTAAACTTTTTTTCCTTCATAATACTGTACATACTAAATATTTTGCTTCTCTTTATTTAAATAAAGTAGAAATGACAGACTTTTCCATAAAAATTACCATTACCAACCAATAAATTCCCTCCCCCCTCTCAAAAAAAAAAAAAATCATTATTGCTGCCATACCTTTGGCTGTCTGGTTTAGCCACAGGAGGGCCAGTACCTCCACCTGGGGCATATGTTGCCAGGTAGATACCGTTGACAGTGTTGTTGCCCATCTCTCCCATCACCTTTAACACCTCAGGTTCCCAAGCATCCAACGTTAAGGATCTCACTTTAGAGTAGTGTACACCAAGACTACGGTGGATTCCTGAGCATTCTGTGAGTGTTAACACAAAATAATCATCCACAAGAAACATGTATTAAAGATAATATGGAAATTTTATTAGCAAGTGATTAATGGATCTAACCCTTAATACAATTGGTGAAAACAATATTATAACAAAGAAGACATAACTGCACTACAAAATAGGTTTTAGTTTGACAACTTACCAATACAAAGAGTAATTCCTAGATTTATAGAGGCCCACCGTGGATTACTGGCACTACAGTCACAGCACTGATCATTCCCAGCAATGCTCATTATTTCTTGCCACAATCTGTATAAAAAGTAGTCCTCAAAAACATGTAATGTAATTCACTTTCAGAAAAAATAACAATATTGGTGGCTGGAAGGAAGAGTAATCACATTCATAAATTCTTACTGGTAAAAAAGCGTTCTACAGTGGTTCTCCCCTCCCCCAACAAGGTCCCTGTGCATCCACATCTTTGCTTCCTTTGTGACTAAGAACAAAATCCTCTAGAATAGGGATAAGTTTGTGATCCCTGAGTGAAGTGTAGCAGATAGTGGTAGGGTCTATCTGTAGCAGGATCACAAAGTATAATATTAACCCTCTGTTACTCCTGACCATGGTCGGAAATCTCAACCCCTCGCTGTCTTCCAATGTAAATAACATCGTTTACAATCTCACCCCCTTGCAGTCTTTCGATGCATGTTGCATCGGTAACAGGAATTTTATTTTTCCGTTTTAGTAAACATTGGGTAGAGCGATCCAGATCAAAGCTGTACCCTTAGAGACACATCTGCCAACCCCACGAGGCTAGTGGAAGGAACTTTGGTGGTCGATAGGGCCGATCCACCGGTCCTGCGTTTCTACTTACGGGAAGGGTGGTCTGAGAGGGAGGGGTTGGGCCAGCACGGGAGTGCATAGTGATGCAATCTGTGTCGAAAGACCACGAGAGGGTTAAGGGAATCAAGGAACAGGCTGAAGCTTGAAGTTGGTTTACTCTTATAATTTTTTAAGACGTACTATAACTGTCTTCTGACCTTCATACACTGCATTAGACATACAGTATATGCATGGCTGGACTTAATACAAACCTTCATTTCCTGACATGTTACAGTAGATATTTTGGAAGAGAATTCTAAATTTCACTTAACGTATTAACTCTCAGGTTAATCTAAATTAGTAACATTTCACTTTATACTATATTATAGAACTATACCAAAGTAAAGAAGACATCTTACAGAGCCTTCTGTGCAGTAGGTGCCTGGGGAGTGGTGGCAGGTGAGGAGTTGTTGGAGGAGTCGCCTGGTGTGGCAGGAGTCAGTGGTCCCTTCTGTGGGTGTGGTGAGGAGCCAGGGGTGTCTAGCCTTGTGTCGTGACAATTGTCATGAGGACTTAACTGCAGGGCTTGTCCAATGCCTCGTTGAAGGGCACTTATCCAGGAATCATAACTGTCTTCACTTTCTGCTTGAAGCATGTGACATCTGAAAGTGTCCAAAGAGGAACCAATCACAAATGTGGTGAAGTCAGTACAAGAATAAAAGACTTAGTCAAATATGCATTGATATAAATACATTCTTATGAAAATAAAGTACGTATAGAGAAAAAATCTGTGATTCTTTGAAACTGCTAGCCTAATAATAAAAAATAAAGTTATAATACAGTACAGTAATAATAACAATAAAAATAATACCACCTGATAATAATAAAAACAAATTCATTAATAATAAATGACTCTCACCTGTTCATGCACATATGTATAGGCTTGGAACTAATGTGTTAGTACAGTATAATACTTATAAATTTATGACATTGAAACATGCAGCAGAGATGAGGTACCCTAAGACTGCATCAATGGTAGAGAAAGCAAATTGGAACGGTTAAGAAATAAAAATGTATGAGGTGTTAGGAATGGCAGTAAAGGAAGTTGTGAATTGTGAAGTGATGGAATGGCTGAAGTGAATTTTGCTGGGGAGGTATGGACGATTGACAAGAAGGTAGGAGAGGCTAGTAAACTGGGTGAACAGGAAAAAGAAACAGGTAGGCTACATCATGGGAGAGAAAGGAATAGTCATAAGAAACAGAGATGGCAAATGCTGTTATAATTATGAGGTGGGCTGGAGTACACCCCCTGAAAGTGAGGCATCACAAATAAAGTAAGAAATATAGGAGCACATTTCTGGTACCAGTGGCCTTCATTCTGTTATACTTACTTCATAGGAGAGACAACCTCAAAACAGAAGCGGCGATCCACCTCGACTGCGGGTTTAACAGTACAAAGACGTAAGTCTTCTTCCATCACTGTTACTTCCTCTCCTGCAATGATAATCAATTATGAAAAATACAAAAAAGAACAATACTTTGGAGTTATTTCTGTTAAACTATTAATAATATTAAGCATTACTTTATATATCATTAAAACTATAAATTTACCTTTAGGCTCACATCAAGTTATAAATATACATGTATACTGTATATTTGCTATGTACACAAGATAACTTTCTGCAAACAGGCCATGCAATGCAGATAATGTTACAGCAGTGCAAGTGTACATAAAATCAATATTACTTTGCAATACTGCACATTATTTACAAGACTCCACAATTATTCATGATTAACTTCATCACTTGCCCACATTTTAACTAGCATCATATACGTAAGCCCATCTTCCATTGTGCAGCAACTTACAATAGGTCACAGCCCCTTCTACCACAGGCAGTCCACTAGTACTCAAACTTAAAAACATTAATACATCATTAGATAGTACTGGTACAGTGTTTAAAAACCAAGACAGATGATCATCCTATGACAATACCATTACATACATAGTTGACCAAACAATCCAATTTTCTTAACAGAAATGACATTTCATTAAACCAGAACCTTATTTTCAAAAGTTGGAAAGACTAGGTACAGTATTCAATTAATTTTCACAAGAAAAACTACAAAATGTAAAATTTTTCTCTTAACTTCATATCATATTCACCTTTCTCATCTTGGAATTAACCAGGAAAGAGCAACAATGTCTCATTATAAAGAATGAAGATATTCTCCTACACCTCCAACCTGAAAGAGCTCTTGTAATTATCAAACATTTTGCATATAATGTATCAGAAGCTTTGGGCAATACCTGTAACCAAATATCTAAACCTCACATTTTTCTTTTTCCTTTAACCTTTTCTCCTCAAATTCCACAGAGATTAATTCATCTTTATCTCTACCTTTTCATTCTAAAGTCTTTCTTAAATCCTTATCAACCTTAGCTCAATAATTTATCTCTGTTTTCTATAATAACCTTTTTTTTTGTAATTTCAGCAAGAATACATTAATGAATTTATACCACTGATAAAAAAAAAATTAACAGTGAGAGATCTATCCATTATTATTGAAAACTGAGGTTCTGGTTTGGTAAATAAATTTTAGCTGTATAACATGAAGTGCTGATAAAAACCTTAACACCCTTTAGAGTAGACCACAGTAAGAAAGCATCACATTAACCAATGTCCCAAACAGTGTGACATTTCTTTAGATGTCAGCAACATTACCAAAGATAAATGCTTGTAAGGCCAAAAAATACTTTTTAAATCTGATGGTTTACATAAGAAAAATTTTGGTTTTAAATATATTTATAGAAAACCTGAAGGGAAAGAATCAAACTGGGAGTGAAAGAAAGGAAAGACCAATCTATAGGATGTGCAAGACCTGGCAACATTCTTTGTGTGGATGTGTAAGGATTTGACCTCGGAGGTAAAGAGCCCCAAAAGAACAACCCCAAATACTAACTGTTCATCATGACCTGATGAACTGTCATAAAAAAAGTGCCAGAGGTCTTTACGTGGACATATAAAACACTGCAGGAATCCTATAGACCAGACCAGGACAGACTAGGTTATCAAGGATAAACAAAAAATTAAATTTCATTGCTCTAAAAAGAATATTTCTTGGTCAACACACACAAAAGGTAACCTTAACTGGACTAAAAGGAAGATGGGAACAGTAGATTGAAAATGGAATTTACCAAATAACATTAAATTTATATTTTGGGATTATAGTATTTCAGCAGTGCATTGATAAACAACAGTCCACTCACATGACAATGTAAATGTTAACTTAACCCTTTCACCGCGTGTCACGCACTTGCCATTTTATTCTGGCTACTGCCAGACAATTTTATTCAGCTTAGGGTAACCTCCTGCTGTGAAAGGGTTAAGAAATGAGAACATGTCTGTTCACAAGCACGGTGAAGCAGTGTGCTGTGCCTATAAGAGCTCCGACAAGCATAATGTGCTATAGCCTGGATTTTAAGACCACTGGTCACTTTAGCATCAGGTTTATGGTCTGATTCCATTCACAGCACCTGCAACTAAGTGTATTTTTTATTACAGACTAATCTGGGATTGAGTGACTATATAGTTTTAATCAAAGGTAATATAACTTTCAACTGACTATTTGACACCATTGATAAAATAGAGAAATACTAATTTCAACAACTTTTTACTTTTAACACTGGAAACCGAGTGGCAAATTCACATGAAGATATCGATTGTCATTTTTATGGGATCATTCTCCAGCAATGAAAATTAAAATTGCTGCCAAATCTCACTTTATTTTCCCATTTTTATTTCCTTGATAATCATTTGACTTCACAAGAGCACACATAACTCTTGGATCTAGAGTTAGGGAAAAACCCTGTTAATAAAACTTCATCTAACTTATTATGCAGTGATCCATGCTGCCTTCCTGATGCTTAGCATTCAGTAGATAAAGGGTGACCACATCAAATGATTGTTTTACCATTGATCAGCAATTAGTAGACTACATTAATCCCTTGGCAAGCTGTTACTTCTCTAAAGGTTGTTCCATACAAAAGAATGTGCACATGATAGTGCATTCAATTATTGAAGTGTACAAGTAGTGTAGAGGGAAAGAACCCAAGCTCTAATCTGGCTGAGAATCAAAACCCAAGACCATTTGTTTGTAAAACAAACACTATTAACCAAGCTAGTGTCTTTCTTTGTAATATAAAGTACAGTAGATTATGTAATTTTATATTGTGTTAATGTTTACCTGTACTGTACAGTATTTAAAAGAATATACAGTACAGAACGGTATTTTTGCTTAGAAGTTCATGGTATGGGTGGAATCACACAGGTTTAAAAAAGCCCCAGGGCAGGTCAATACACACCATCCTTGACTATCATCAAGGATTCTGTACTATAAGAGTATGGCTCACTTGATGACCATTTTTGGTTCTGCCCCCGACAGTGGTGCCACCAGTGGCCATCAAGTCACAACACAGAACGGGTCCATTGCACTTTACCCTACATTGGTATGTCATGGGATTACGTTTTCCCTTACCAATAATCTATACATTATGCACTTTTTCGACAATATGCACATAAGTGTAGAATTCTAGGAATATTATTTCAATATATGGCAAACAAACAAAAATATATAGTACAGTACTCCCACTGTGTCAATCACTTCATTTTAATAAGTAACTTTTCAATTGATTAGCCGAATAAGAAAGTTATACATGTCAAACTTTGAAGTTGGCAACATAAGTTATTAAATGAAACTTTGATGGTAATAAGTTTGAAGAAAAAAGTATACCTAATCACTACCAGCAAACTAAGGGCTGTATTCACAGTCGACATGCCATGACCATCAGGAACTCAAAGCTCATGGTGGCAGGTGCTATTTATGAATATGATTTGGGCACTACGATGGGTTTGGATCCTGATCCACCGCGTAGAGCTACCAACATGTGCAAATAGGCATGATGGCCAGTGGTTGGTATGCCACAAGTCAGCCAGCTGTCACATGTAAGCAAACTGCACTTGATTTAATATTTCAGGATGTTACATTATTGCATTCTGTTTTACCTCGTTTCTGTTACCGTTCTTTGATTATTGTGCCTGTTTGGTTCTCAGTTGCAGTGTGTAACTTAAAATAATTGATAAGGTTTTTGTGATGAAGTTGGCAGGATTGATCTTAAACTGTTGGTACTTTGTGCTTGGTATATGAATTCTACTTGGACCCAAATCATTCTTTTCAATAATTCCTCCCAGAATCTTATATCCCAGCTAAATATACTAGATATCATTGTAATATTAACCTGTAGGGTTGTGGCCTTAAAACTCTCTTAACGGAAGGATGTTATAGACGAAATGCGATTTAAAATACGAAGAAAAATTACTGTACTGTACTACAGTGTCCAAAGTTCAAATTTATTATTCCACACATTATAAATAATGTAAATACTGTAAACAAAGTGATGTTAAACAATATTGAATCATTTAAATATTGTAATGTAAAAAATGGGATTTCAGTTACAGATTCTTGTGATGAGGATATTGGGATCCCGTATGTAAGTGCAGGTGTTCGTAAGATAGGCGTTTGTAACTCAGGTACTGCCTGTACTGTATACAGCTACTCCCCGACTTACAACCACCCTCAGTCATACCAAAATTTTGTCAAATTATGTATTTTCGAGTCCCAACGTCAGTGATTGCGCTGTGTACTGACAAAATTTTCGTTTGTAATTCATTTTAAAATGGCTAGCAAGCTTAAAAGTGAGAGTTTTGTGGTGCTGAGAAGAAAAAGTGACACCCATTTTAGATTTTCTATGTATTATTTAAGCATTTTTGACTTCCGGCCTGAATTTGGGTCCCTAACCCCGTCGTAAGTCAGGGAGCAGCTGTATATTAAAAAAAAGAAGCCTTTCTATCACCAATAAACACATTTTCTATCAGTTTTCAATATATTTTATCAAAATTTGGAAGGTGAAAAAGTTTATAAATTCATTGGGACTGGCATAAGGCGAGAACCCCCTCCCAATGAATTGTTCCCATGATCCTGATAGGAAACCTGATCCACCAGCACTGCCTTCAGGCTTGCAAAGGCTCCTGAATAATGACACACCTGATCGGTCAGGTGGTGTAGCGACTGTGAATACCGCCATAAGACAAATAAAAAAATAGACAGAAGTATGTAAACCTTATATGCAAACCTTATTAAAGTACCCTAATATTTAATCCTTTTATGCTGTAGCATAAAATGTATCCTGGTCACTTTATGCATCATGCTACCACTGATCTTAACCAACAATTTTGAAGAGGAATTTAATATCAATACCACATACATCAGAAAAATAAAGAGCTGATAAAAACAAATTAATATCCAACATTGACTGATGTGCAGGTCTACAACTTCCATTTCTGGATCCTTTAGTGAGTGGAAGAATGAAAATCACTTAATCCATTTGGAATCTCTATAGCAATTTACAGTTGAACAATAAGTACATCCCATTATATTTGGCAGAGGAAGTCGTATTAATGGTAAGAAATAGAGTACAAACTCTTCTCCATTCACTCATGCCTGCCAAGTGATGTTCTGGCTTGCTGAACACTTGGAGAGGATCGCCCAATAAAGTGAGACATCCTTTTATTGTATAGAATCCTTGCTATCATCCACTACTGTACTTATAAGCTGAATTTCTTTGTTTATGGGTTCAATATTTTACTTTATATTGAATGTGGACATTTACCTATCTCTAAAAGCATACAGTACATGTACAATGAAAGACAAAAGTCGTGTCATGAAATTTGGTGAAAACACATGCCAAAGAGCTAAACTTTTGGTGCACTCTGGCTTGTGGTAGGGGGCTCTCATAATGTTTCACGAGTTATATTTAATCTTCGGACAAAATCGCAACACAACTTTTGTCTTTGATTGTAAATGTTTTTAGGATATCTGAGCGTACTCTCCCATTAAAGGTGATCTTTCCTGATGTCCAACTGTGTGTGTTTCCATATTTTGTACTGAACCACAAACATATGCAGGTGTCAATTGTACTATTTTGTGGGAATAGTTTCTATCAAAGGTTCATCTGTTTGGATACAGTAACCTTTAAAAATGTACAAAACATTATGTCTTTTTTCGTTCTAATAATTAATCAAATTATTCATTGTCTTGTTATCAATCCTACTTCTTAACTCAGCAAAAGGTGTGTGTAGGAAATAAATGCTGTTGTCAAGAGCCAGTTCTGTCAACTCTTTAGACTAAACAACTAAAGGTATCCAGTGTAGGTATTGCAGTTTCAAGTCAAATTCATCTATAATTTCAATAAGTCTTCATTCAAGCTGAGAATGGAGGAAGAAAAAAATAAAGAATGTACACTAAATTTTGGTTACTTTAAGAGAACAAATATCTATTTTTTGGCCTTACTACTACATACAGTAAAATGTGAGACCTAAAGTGTATAAGAAGTTCAACCACCAAAATTCCACAGCGTACCTAGTACTCTAACAATGTTAATCATCACAGGCTAATTGCCAGGCAGCTCTAGGACAACTCTTTCATGCACAAAAAATTAGAAAAGATGTTGTATGTTTTGCAAGCATTTTCTTTTTCTAACCATTATTATGAAAACAATATTTTGGTCTGTTGCATGTTTTATAAGATAAGCTTTAAAACATACTAAAAAAAAAGTCCTTCATTACATATGCAAAATGGAGAAAAGTGGATGTGGAAAATGTTCAGATAATGTGTGAAGTGGAATACACAAGGGTGAACTAGTAGCTTGACTTTTCCCTTCATCTTTTCTTCCACATCCATCCTCATGAGTTATCATACCACACCAAGACAACATTCCTCCCATATCTTTATCCACCAAAAAGTCCAAAAGTACATAACATTAACACTACCTTTGTACTTTTTGTTAGTATTACTATTCATCATCTGGGCTCTATTCATTATCACACACACATACATGCTGTTCCCATCTAGTTCCTTCCTTCTCTCTCCTTTTCTTCACTTTGTATTGCTGCACCCATAAAGTAGCTATTACATTTATATACAAATGAGCCGGTATTTACACAGGAAACACTTTGTACAAGACATCTTTTTTATTTACATTTTGTGTTTATACAATGTCTTTTAAAATCTCTGTAAGTTGCATGTTTGAAAATGTGTGTATATGCATGTATGTTTATGCTGCTGCTCTTAATAATAGTGCTGACAGTATTATAGGTGAGGCAAGACACAGTGACTACGGTGTTAGCTACGTGCTGCTGTAATGTGGTTGAGATGGTGATATAATTCTCCACTCACACTAAGGTTGCTGGCTGGTAAAGTATTTATAGCTGAAACCTTAGAGCAAATTGAGAGTTGATAAAATATTTATAGCTTTAACCTTAAGAGCATATCAGAGCTACACAGAAGTGATAGCAACACAGACCTCCGTGCGCTCGCGTCAAACGACTATTGAGCAGATTACTTCCTCCTGAGTTCCTGACAGACTTTCGTAAACCTTGGAAGGGTATGAGAAAAACTACATTAATAGATGAGAATCAGGCTACTTTTTAGAATGAAATTATATTAGATAGGTAGCTTTGTGGTGAATTCCTATCATTTGATCTCTATATAAGCAAAAAATATATATTCCATGATCAAGGAATTTTGATAAATCAACTGAAACTTTGAAAAGAATAGCTGACATACTCTTCATGACACATAATCCAATGTATGACCCAACAAATTCTAAAGTATGTTACTACAGGTTGTACCTCTCTAGTCCGGCAACCTCAGGACCTGACCGGTGCTAGACCATGGAAATTTCCGGACCATGAAAATTCACCCTTTTTCTGGATAGATAGTGACTTGTGCTTACGCTTGGAAGCACTAGCACCACTTTCTCTGCTTCATGGTCTCTTTGAAGACATATTGAAGGGTTAAATGTTGTACAGTAACTTCTCAAATTTCGCGAGATTTTAATTCGGCGTTTTCTATTTGAACACACAAAAAACAACACATTTAAAAATTTTGACGGCGGAAACTCGAATTTCGACGGGTTTGAACGGCCCACCAACGTTTTGACGACGTGCACAATCGTGTAAACAGCGTCATTTCTCTTACGTACAAAACATTCATTATTGTTTATTACTGAAAGTCTTTTTGATTGAATTAATGTTTGTGTGTGCAAAATGAGCAATACAATTCATTAATAATACGTAGAATATTAAAACATGAGGAAATGAGACAGCATTGTTTTCGTTGATTACAAAACCAGTGACTGACTGGTTCTACATATAAAACTGAAGAAAATAAGACCCTGGTTGTAGCTGTATTAAAATTAATATGGTTGTTTTAAGTAATGTTATTTAATGTTAATAAATGGAACAATAGAAGTAGCTAATGATAATGGTAAAGAAAAAAAGAGAGATCGCGTATGTAAGTGCGCACAAGTGAAAACATATCGTCATTACTTTACATAAGAATATGAAAGCAACACTTATTTACTGTTCATATATATTTTAATTAATGTTTCTGAATTTGTTTTTATTGAATTAATGTTTGTGTGCAAAATTAACAATACCATTTATTAATAATACGTGGAATATTAAAACACACGAGGAGACGAGACGGCTTCCGGCATTGTTTTTGTTAAAGCTTACAAAACCAGTGACTGATTGGTTCTACATATAAAACTGAAGAAAATAAGACCCTGATTGTAGCTGTAGTAAAATTAATGTAAAAAATTAATATGGTTGTTTGAAGTACCTGTAATGTTATTTAATGTTAATAAATGGAACAATATAAGTAGCTAACCATTAATGGTAAAAAAAAAAGTGAGACTGCGCGTATGTAAGTGCGCACATGTGAAAACATATCGTCATTACTCTACACAAGAATATGAAAGCAACACTTATTTACTGCTCATATATATTGAAGGCTTAAATGTTGTACTCTGTATAGACAAGCAGAGAGAGAGCAGCCGAACTGCCGGATGTAAACAAACCTTAATTTCCCGCGGCTTTGTTGTTGTTTTTTTACGGGGATTAGCCCACCAGGGCATAGGTCACTGACCCACATTGGGGCCTGATGGGAAAAAATTTAATACTTCTGTAATAATAATTCAGATTAAAAAAAGAAAGAAAGAAAAAAAAGCTGCTTATCTACCTATTGGACAAACTAAAATCGTTCCGGACCACAGAATGCCGGACTAGAGAGGTACAACCTGTATAAGCAATTTTTTTATCATCTTGGCACAATAATGGGTGCTAGATTTAACACCTATTCGTTAGCACCAGTTCAGTACACCGCAGGAGATATTAATCTGTAGGGAACATTAGAAAATAATGGATGAATATTTCCTTGATCTCGCCTTTTAATGTTGATGGCAAGGATAATCATATAAATAATGAGGGGGACATACAAAGGAACACCCCAGTTAACAAATACATTAGGGACTGAAGAATCACTTTTTAAGGCGGTTGCTTGGAACAATGTACAGTAATTATGGAAGGTCACATTCTGAACTACATCACAAAACAAAAATTTTTCTAAGAATTCTCCAACACTAAAGATATGCATACATCTGTGACTTTCATAGTACAATTCCTATCAAAAGCCATTCACTTTCTAAAAAAAATTTGTCTAAAGGAACATTCCTTACAAAGTTCACTTGCTGCCATCACTACTATGAAGAGCCTTTACAAACAATTTCTTCTGCTATCTCTAGTGAGTGTCAAATTCTATTTATTCAGTATATATGATATTTTCAACCATAAATATTGCTTTGCTGAATTTGCTTTGTTATTTAATAAGATACAGTATAAGAGATTAAAAGACATGGAAAGTATTTGCTCATGCCTGCATCTCTACCAGTCTGGCTTTATTGAACTTCCTTTGTTATTAATAAAAATAAGAGATAAAAAAAATCATGGCTTTGTCTCTGCTAGCCTGTTACGATCAGTTAAGTACCTTGATAACAATAATTTATATTCAGTCAATTTAATCAAGGACAGCCGACAAAACCATGAGATGCTTGTTTCCAACAGTCCTATGTCAGCAGCATTTGGACACCCATTCAAGTACAAAACTAACCAGACCAAACATTGCTTAACTTCGCTGATTGGAAAAGAAACAGCATTTCCAGTGTGGTACTACAAACAATTAGGTTCTGGGAAACTTGTTTGTAACATCTAGTGTCATAGCCATAATATTCACATTAACTGGGGTGTTCCTGCACTATCTTCAAGGAAGGGAAAAAAGCTTAGCAAAGTAACTGATTATTACAGACTGTCAACGTTCCGGTTTTCTCAAGGGACTTTAAAAGATCTACACACCTTGTAGAACATAAGACATCCTGCAATGCTTACTCAATATTTGCACATTGTTACATACTGTACTTATAACTTTTTTGTACTTATGATTTTTTTTAAATTTAACATGTATTAATAACTTTCACAATCTTCTTTTCCATTGCATGAGCTGTTATTTGTGTTACAAAGAGAGTAAATTGATTAAGAGCTTCAGCATGCTTTTGCTTACTAAAGCCTGTGTGCTAAGACACAATGCTAGTCTGTCTAGAAGTAATTATGCATCCTCAGCAGCATTATTGAATTAGGACTGACCGGGCACTCCCATATTAGTGGTGCTCTTTATAAGCCTCTTATTAAGGAATAACTTAAGAGGCAATTATATTATAGCTTATTAGAAACAGAAGCCTTAGTGTATTTTTAAAACAAACACAAATGTTATATGAAAACAAGAAAAAGAACAATCCCAGTTAATGAAAACTTCCCAGTGTGATTGTAACATGAGTATTACCAAGGTGTGTCTGTGCTGGTTGTTACAAGCTGTGATGCAAGGTGAACTTGTCACTACTCCATGAAGACCTTATCACCTAACTCTTCCTCACACACACTAGGATGCCTCTACACTCAAAAGTGGAGGAAATAAAGCTAGAAAAATAATGTAAAAATTATTAATGCAATGAGTATTGATAAATTTCTTCTTGTTAGGAATGTGGTAAAATTTTGATTTCTTCAAAGATATAATAAACTATCACCTGAATATAGGCTAATTTCAATTCATGCAATTAAAGACTACGACTTCTTAAGTATTTCAAGCTTGTCAGTGTATCACACAAGATAGACAAAAATTAGCCAATCACCGTTTAATCAGCATTGCTGATTTTGCTAAAGAAAGAAGACTTAATTCTATTACTAGTTGCAGCTTGGTGCTAATTACTAACTTCTATGGAAAATAATTCCATGTAGGCCTATACAAAATAACTAAAAGCTTGTGAGAGCCACCCAATGAAGACCATGAGTAGAGTGAACCCAAGGAGACAACTTGTAGTTCAGTGGGGTATGCTATAACGAATCTAATTGGTTCTAGAACCTTGTTCGTTATAGCATTCGTTCGTTATAGGATTAATCAGTTCCACGCCCCCAAATACAACCACTTAACACTGAAATATATAATATAAAATTGTAAAAATTTTAAAAAGTGCATAAATATGCATCTAAACCCCTGAAATAAAGAATATCATTAATACCTGTACTTGTAATAAAAAAACCAATAAATTAGTAAAAAAAAAAAAAAAAAATTCGTTGTAGGAGTTTCGTTCGTTATAGCATTCTCAATTTTATAGGTAAAACCGTTCGTTATAGGTATATTCGTAGTAGAATCCATTCGTTATAGCATACCCCACTGTACATCATAAATTTAACCACTGACCTGATAATAATAACAATAAAGGTTTATTATGGAGATTTAACCCTTTAAGGAGTAGTGTCACATTTAGCTATTCTATTCTAGCTAATACCTGACAATGTTATTCAGCCGAGAGAAACCCCTACCACTCAATGGGTTAAGTACATATGAGAAGAGTGATACATATACTTATCACTGTATTACAATGTATAAGTACATATGAAAGGGTTATAACTGTAAAAGAAAATTGCCAAGTAAGAATTTTTGCCACCCCTTACAATGCAAACAAGTGTTAAGATGTTGGAGACAAGGATATTAATAACGAGAAGGTGATATATCATTTGACCTATGTAAAACTTCATCAAATGCATCAACAAATGTTGAATCAAGTCAGATCTATAGCAAACTGCCCAGTGAGCTGTGGGAAAATGATTAGTGAAGAGATGTGAAACTTAACACCCTGGGAGAACTCTACACACAAACTCTTTGTGGATCACACTCACAGTTCTGATTAAACCACAAAAATATGTGTACACTATTTGTAGATTTATTTGTCCATATTTGCCATTTAAATACAGTTGTATTCCCATGTACAGTATATGTAATTTCATATTTGAGCAAGCATCAATTTATGTGCTTCTGTATAAGGGTATAGATTTGTGTGAGTATATGCATAAGTATCATGCATACATAAGTATGGATGTGCATAAAAAAACATGTACAGTAAACTCTGTCAACTTTCTGTATATAAACATGGCAATTCTTATCTTTACAGCTTAATAAAATGCAACCCAAATGCCAAGAAAGTTACCCTCAACTCCAGTCACTTTTTTTTATCCAAGTGTCTGCCATGCATGTGAATTGAGGGTGAAAATACCAGCAACGAAAAATTTCTAAGTACGTATCATACACCTCTGGGGTGTACATAAAAGAAAAGAACAAAACTTTAAAATAGACAGAGAGGCAAGCGTGTACAAATGTTTGTGAATAACTTCAGTATACAGTGCAGGGACATAATATTTATATTCATACTTATTTGCATATGAAATGTTTTTAATAAACACATTTTAATAATAATAACAGAACTAAATTATTTTTTTTAATATGAAAAATAATGATAAAGAAACATTAATAGATAAGCATCCATGTCCTGGCCTAAATACAAAAAGAGGGTTCAGCTGAAACTGTTAGCTTCATGTTAATTTTGGTTATCTATGGACATTTCATTATGGTTTTGTTCTAAAAAATTATTTTAAGTGAGGGTTATTTAAGCTCTATGTTTACTTTGGGCTGGCATTTGTTATAACACCCCTTTCCCCAGATCATAACTTTAATTACCTCTATCTTCATAAATTCTTCCTTTCATGAGATGTGACCTTCAAGTGAAAGTTAAGTTGGCAGGATTTACTGTACATAATATATTTCTTTTAAACCAAACTCAGGCTACAAATTATCACTAGACCAGATGGAAAACTTCCACATGACTTTTTTTATACAACCCTGACTTTCAACAGCCTCTTCTCTCCTATTCAGACATATCTAAACGTTATACAAATCATTGCATGTAATGATGAATGCCATTGACCACCCTGAATCATCCCCTTCAATATACAGTACCAGTGGTTTACCCTTTTAAAATATGTGTGTATTTGTATCCATGGCAGCATATGAGTGTGTCTTTTTTGCCACAGCAAATCAATAGAGGTAGTCAAGTACCTAAATGGTGTGGTGTTAAAAGCAACTTTTGAATTAGAATATGACAAGTTTCTCAAAATCTCGTCCACAATACATGGCATCCTGAACAGTTTAGTAGGAGAGCTTAAGTGCTTTCTGTAAATAATACAATAAGAGCTTATAAATACAATCAGCATTTTATCATGGAATACACTGTACCCACCTTTCTCTTTCTTTGTTTCTATTTGCTATCTATTGATTTATGTATTTTTCTCTCTCATCTCTTTATCTTCTGTGTGTACAGTATGACATGAATAATAGGCGACTTACTTCTTAATATTGACATCCTTTTGGGAGAGGGAAGGGAGGTGTTGGCCAGTTCAAAAATAAATAACAGTAGCACCAGTAGCACAGAAACTAACTGAAGCACACAGTACTTTGGAATGAAACCTAACAAATAGACCTTCAATGATGCATAACTAATGTCCGTTACGCGAAACCTATTTTCCCACTGACTTCCATTATAAAACTGGAGATGCGTTCCTAAGGAATTTTTTCGGCCCCCAAAAAGTAATTCAAGCACTTTTATTAATGAAAATAAACATTTATAAACACATACAATACAGTACATTAAATAATTCATGATATACCTTCTTAAAACACCAATTTAGGGGTTAATATTGCATAATATTGCATTATACAGCTATGTGTATGTTTATTTGAGTGCCCCGTCATAGGAGTCCATTTTCTCTAACTTCAGCACTCTCGAGTCGTCCGTTTTCTCTTAATCTTAAGAGTGCACCAGAGACTATTATTTTTTAGTAGTGACACAGAATTTGATATTGCAACTGGGGTTGCAATTGTTGAGGCAACTTAGGTATGTCTGATTACAGTTAGAATATTCAAGATCCATTGTGAGTGATGTTTAAAGCTTCAACTGTCTTTATGGTTGGTAAAACTTGTCAAGTCTGTCAGTCTGAATGGCATGTGTGAGGCCTTGTGTTTGTTAAAATTTACCCCAATTTCCGTAAGGGCGGATTTACGGGCCGTAACGCAAAATTATTGGTCATAATATATATATATATATATATATATATATATATATATATATATATATATATATATATATATATATATATATATATATATATATATATATATATATATATATATAAATATATATATATATATATATATATATATATATATATATATATATATATATTATATATATATATACTTATATATTATATATATATATATATATATATATATATATATATATATATATATATATATATATTATATATATATATATATATATATATATATATATATATATATATATAAAGTTATTTTTTCAAGAAAATTTCCATTAAATTATAAAAAAAATATTAACTGTAATTAGTGACATTAATATTTGTAAGCAAATTAAATTTCACTGCTGAGTTTCCCTACCTCTAAACCTTCTTGTGTTCACTTTCTTGGTTAAGTTCAGTGTTTAACTCCAATTTAATGAAAAATACATATAATTTAAAATTACCCTACATTACACCTTTATTTACCAGAAGGTGATCTCTACATAAGGTACTGCACTGTGTAAACAAAGCGTGAAACAACTTCAAGAAGACCATGAAGCTTAAAACTATGAAATGACCTCTTGATGAATTTAATTTTTGTGATTTTATTTAATTATTGCAAAATGCTATTTTTCCTTATTCTACACACAGCATTACTGCAAAAAATATGTATACACATAATGCATAAATATTCATATACTTTCTAACCAATTTCCTGAATACAGTACAGTACACATTACAGGTGGTCCAAATTAAAAAGAATGAGCCCAACATAGAAAAATTATCTATCAAAATTTAACTTATCTAATTTAAAGAATTTTGCATAAGTCTGCAACACATCACAATAAATCTACCTAAACCAATCATGAGAAAATGTTGATGCCACGGGTAAACATCAGCTTTATGTATACGTACTGGATTTCAAAATGATGTAGTACGAGTGTGGTACGTTAAGGAAGTACTGTGACACCCTGGACTTTATTACCAATGCCAGATATTAAAGAAATAAACACAATGAAGATACCTCTGTTTGCTCCAGCAATCTTATACAGTATGTACCTGCATGTTTAAATAAAAAACATGTTAAATTAAAAATTTAACTTCTAAGACTAGACCTATAACATCTATTAACCTTCTGCCTTACCTGATCGTTTGCGGTAAACCAACTGGTTATTTTGGAGAGTAAAATAACGGCGATTCCACGTCTTGAAAGCATTGGTAGTTCGTTTAAACAGATAGCCATGCATTGTGACTGGCTGGCTAGTGTCCAACTGGTCCAATGATAACACTAAGTCTTTATCTGTGACATCTGTGTGTCGGTTTTCTAAGCTCTTTTCCAGATCACTGACTTCTTGTCTCATCAAATTTACCTGAAGATAAAACTTTAGTCTCAAATCATATATATTTTAGCTTAATAATTTACAATTCATACAAAACTTTCTATATCCATGTAGTATTTACATTAAAGAGAGTAGGCATGGAATGCTTATTCATTTGACTTAAGATAACAATGTAAATCTAGAGTTACAGTTACTTTATGTCTCTCCTCCCATTCATGCATGCACACACGCACATAAAAAAGAAATGACAAATTATATTTATTTAACAATTCTGTTTGTTTTAATCATACACATTGGCAGGGTTTTGTTATAAGTTTAAGCAGAATTGAAGTGGCTGAGATTCAAGGGAGGATGGGTCTTATTTACTATAACTTATTAAACAAACAGGACAGATCATAACATCTGTATTTTGAAAAATTAACTAAAGATGAATTAACATATTTGTCAAATAGTATCAGGGAATCAAATTTTTATTTCATAAACAACTTGAACCAGCTCTGACATCAGAAGAGTTGGTCAATCTGTCTGACAACCAATTCAATTTCTCGTCTGACAGTCATTGTCTTTATGAATATTTTGATATCTTCATACTACAGGAGTCCACTCTTCATAATTTTCATATGAGAATTTAATTTAACAGTTCTCTTTTATCTTGCAGTAATGAAGTAAGAAAAAACTTCAAGATTATTGTCACAGCAGTTACTGATTTCCATTCATGTCAATAACCTTCTTCCCTAATAACATTATAACTTTCTTTTCTACTCGAATTAAATACAAGCGCAGATGTAAGTTTAACATTAAGGTAACAATACTGAACAAAGGATTTGATGAACCAAAGATACTGTCAATGGGAACATTACCTCTTGGCCAATTTTATCCAGGGAAGGTTTCAGGTCATCACAGAGATCCGTACCTTGGTGGTAGAAGGTGCTGTATGCCTTTAAGTATGATAAAAGCTGAAAGAAAAAGAAAGCAAACATTTTGATCTGTTCAATAAATATTTCTTCTCACATCAACTAACATCTTCTAAGCTTTTCCCACAGTTTGTAGGGTGGTAACATCCAGGTAAAAAGGGTTAGCTTACCCAGAAGCAATTAAGTAGAGAGTTGGTAACTCAGTGCACACCATAACATATAGCACCCCAACAACACTACCCAGTGACAGGATCGAATCCCAATCTCATGAGCTGGGAATCTAGAGTGCTGACTGTAACATATGATCCAATTAACCCTTTCATCTCTTAATCATGGACTTTCATTATATAGACAAATTATAAATGTCTTAGTATCATTAATAAAGAGGGTAGGAGAATGGATGCCGAGATATTTGTAAGAATTATGAAAGGAGGAGTTGAGTAAAGGAGTTTGTTACTGGAATTTTACAGTCATCAAAAGTAAAGATACAGAAATAAAATTTTTACGAATGGGATGTGGGGAGAGAAAAAGGGGTAGAGTGAGAAACTTCAATGTTGGAGGAATGCATGGAATCAAAAGGTGATGGAGGGAGTGTTGGGATAATTTGGCCACATCGAGAAAGGAGATAAGAAACAGATGAATAAAAATGTAATTCAGTAAACTCTCATTATTACAGAAACTTATAAATAGACCTTTTATTTAAGTGGAGATGTGTAAGACAGTAAATTAGATAGATTATGAGTTGTTCTTGATTCTCATAACCCTGTGCCAAAGTGGGAAAAAAGCTTGCAAGAGGAGGGAAAAATGTTACTTACAGCATCAACCACTTCATGACGTTTTTTCCCCTGTGCTATGGATATCGCGTGGACATAATCAACAGTGGTGTGTCGAAATGCTCTGCGCGTGGCTATGACCAGGTTTTTCATGTCGTCTGCATCATGAGCACGGGAACGGGATACACCGGAAGAACGCTGTAAGACACTGTCCATTTCGCCGCTCACCTTCTCGAAGTAGTGTCGAAGATCTTTCACAGAACGTAACTCACTTGAAAAAGTACAAACAAAATACAGTAATCTCAGAGAGGAAGAAATGTTAGATAATTCTGAGAATTTCAATGGTAGTAAGAGGGAAGACATTAAAGTGCCTTAAGTATCACCATTCAAGCCTGCTGAATCTATAAATTTTCCACTAGCCCACTGGGCTAGTAAACTTCCAAATCCACTAATTCACACAAATTTTACTAACCCAAAATATTTTCCAATTTAGGAAATACTGTATCTAACATTCAAAGTGATTAAATGAATGTTAAGTTTTAAAACATCAATAAATGACTGAAGGAATTTATTGTAATAGGAAGTAACAACTGTACAGTAATTATTAAAACTACCAGAGTATACACAGTTAAAACTACAATAGCTCATCGCTGCAAATCAGCCATTGTCAGGGTCACCCAAGTCATTGTCACTCACTTGACTGGCAGCTCATCTTTTTCCCTTCTGTAAAGTTATTCCTGTACAGTACAATATTTCTGTTGAAAAAATATATAGTCTTCCTTTATACATAAGACCATTTTTTTTCTTTTTAGCTAAACAATGTTGGACACTTTCACTTTTGCATAAGGTGAAATTATCATGTGCCCAGAGAGCTAGTAAATATAAAATTTAACATGCCATAAGGACTTTCCACTTGCCACAGATGACCAGGCAAGTGAGTTTCCAAAGCCCTGTCATAATATCAATTTCAAAATTCTTTTCTTACCATATACGTACAATATATCTTACTTTTTTAAACACGTCAGTTGATCATGTTGACAGTAACCTTAATATTAATTTGATAATTATTTTTTAAGTTTGATGACAAATACAGTAAAACCCCGCTTTACGCGGTACCCTGCCGAACACGGAATGCTCACTTTACGCGGTGCATATACTCTTTTACGCGGAGAGCGGCGCGGGCAGGGTGCGCACAAGGTCGCCCAGTCATCAAAACATTACCGAGTTCTTCACCTGCCACCCACCACAGCCGGCCCAAGTCAGTGATAGTGAGGATATGGACTTATATGGACTTTGAGGGGTTTGACAAAGAGGCTCTGCAAGCCTCTGTGGTGGATAGTGATACAACTGATACAAGTGATACAGGTAAGGGCCAATAATCTGCCCTCTGCCTCGGAACCAACCCCCCCCATCCCGTGTGCCCAGCCATCATTTCTACTAATCTAAGTGTTAAAAAGCCTAATATTATTGATATTTCTCTTAATTATTAATTGTGTGCATACCATCAAAAAATTAAGAAGTTATTTTTACTACAACGTAGGTATTGTGTCTGAAAAAGTGGAGTTTGGGGGTCGGCCTGGTCTCTATTTCAATTAATCCCATCTGTTATGTTGTTCACTTTACGCATTTCTCGCTTTACGAGGGCCGCCGTGGGTTCAATTGACCGCGTAAAGTGAGGGTTCACTGTATATGAAAAAATCATCAATATCCCAAAGCAGATTGAATGGTTAAATGTTTGTCATCCTTTAATCTCATAAACCATCTCAACAAGTGTAGTGCAGTGGCAACACCCTCACTTAACTTCTAATGCACCAAAAACACCCCACTGACCATCACTATCCTTGAGAGGTAATTTAGGATAGGAATTTTAAGCATAACCATCTAAAACTTTACCTGTACAGCTCCTCCCAACTTACGACGGGGTTAGGGACCCAAATCCAGGTCGTAAGTCAAAAATGCTTAAATAATACATAGAAAATCTAAAATGGGTCTCTTTTTCTTCTCAGCACCACAAAACTCTCACTTTTAAGCTTGCCAGCCATTTTAAAGTGAATTACAAACGAAAATTTTGTCAGTCCACAGTGCAATCACTGACGTTGGGGCTTGAGAATACGTAATTTGACAAAATTTTAGTACGACTGAGGCAGGTAGTAAGTCGGGGAGGAGCTGTATATTGTACTGTACTGTATATGTTACATACCTTTGTGAAATTGACGTTCATGAACTGGGCAATCATTCTGAGCAATTGCACAAACAGGGAGTAACAAATATATATATAAATGTAAGCAAATCTGGGGACATATTTTGTCCCTAGTCTGAGGTGTCCTGTATTATGTGGTTCTTACCCTGGGGAACCTAAATCTTTTTGTCTAAGGCTTCCCAAACCATAAATTATGAGAAAAGAAAAGAATAAAAGTTAGATTTTTTGTATTTAACATGCAAAATCCTACACACTTTTTTATAAAAGTTGCGAGGTTCTTGGTCACAGCACGAGCAGCTTGGTCAACTAATATTGCATGATATTTTGCAGCTTCTCCCAAGGCAGCCAACATGCGATTCAAGGCTGACTGTACACTGGTGTCATTGCCGAAATATCCTGCTAAGTCCCATAGAATATGAATAAGTTGTCTGAAATAGAAAAGAACTTTTAATTTTTCCAAACACAATCAAATTTATAAATATAAAATAATTTTCTAAAGGCATATACATTCTAAATGAGATGAATCAGTCTTTAATCTAATTATCAAATAACTTTTATCAATTAGTCAGTTAACTTACGTCTATCAGTGAACTATCTATTGATTAATTTCTATCTAGCTAAAGATGAATCCCAATTAAGTGGTTAAACAGAAATGCATATTTAATATAACTTAACTTTTAAGTTTCACAGTACAATAATATTTTTTTACAAGTAAGAAAAATTACACTATGCAATTTTTTTTAATGTTTACATCTTGAAAACAAAAGCCTCATTATCAAAACAAAATACATTGCTGGCCATACTAAGAACCTATCAGAATATCTTGGGGACTTCCTGAGGATAACCACCACAGGAGAACAAAGTAAAAGGCTGAATAACAATGTGTGGGGGGGAGTCGATTCCTGTCACTACATTTTTTGTGGGAATGGGCTTACATGAGTTGGGTGTGTGGGAGGGGGGTGGGGGGGGGGGATGCTTTTATGGGCTAATTGATATACTGTACAGTATTGCCTTAAAAAGTACTTTTATTCCTGAAGTAATTAATTCAATTGAGGTTAACATAAAAGTTGTGCAATATGCTTACTCTTGCTCCTGATTGAACTGCCTTCCTGCTGACACCATCTGGTTACATTGCTTTACTACCTGTCAATAACATAATTCATTAGAATTAATAGTACGGAAGAAATGGGCAAGATGCTCAATCCTGTTTTTGAAGTTATTATAAAACATTTCAGTTCTGATATTACAGTATTCAGTATTTTAAACTGCCTGGGTAAGTATACCTCTCTCTCAACCAGCTTTCTATTATTAACTGACACCACCCCATCCCATAGGTGTCAGATAAAAAAGAGTTACAATACAAAGTATATATTCTGATCATCAGTTACATGGGGTTGTTCAGCACTAGCACAAATGGCAAGTGTTGTCTAAGTTACATTATACGTAGAGAAGTACAGTATAGTACTTGTAGATAAGGAACATATAGATATTACTGTAGTGTTAGTTCCAGTCCCCTCACTATCATTTTACTGAAAAACAATTAATTGTTTCTACAGTACATGTAATCCACTGATATGTTAGATGGTTCTGTAATGATGGAATATACAGTACACAACTTGACCAAAATTCCATGAAAAGTTGTTTGGCCATGCGAGTGATTTGATCTTTTTAAAACCTGGAATGAAGCTTAAATAACTGATCCTTAGAATCGTCATGGATAAAATAATTAAAGCTACTTGAGACTGAAAATTTGTATTTAAGAGAGAGGTGCAGTATACAGCATCTAATCCAAAATATTATAATGAATCAATGAGGATAAAAGTATGCCCAGTGTTTGGTAACTTTGTTTAAAAGTATGGAAGTAAACACCTTACCTTCTCAAGCTTGCCTTCCAAATTGTCCAAGTCCTTTTCATTTTCTTCAAGTACTTGCCTGTAAAAAAAAATATATATACTGTATATATCTGTAAAATTTGGAGCACTGTAAAGCCAGGCAATGTACATTATTTACCAACATATAATTCATGAAATACAGTACATACGAATATAACTTTATTAACAAATTATTGGGAAGGCCTTACAAAAATAATACCGATGTTTCATATTTTCTAGAATCTTCACTCACAAACCTCCACTGTACAATATGTATGTAATATGATGCACTAATACAATATATCGTTCAGTAGTAAGAGATCTGTTAGGAACATTTCAAGAGAATAAGAATGAACTGTGGCTGAATACCATGTTAACATAATTTGTTTTTAAGTTAAGACAATACTGTAGTGCTGTGAAACATATTTTGCAGCACAGAATAACTTGGAGCAAAATGTCTACATATATCAGGATCATGCAGTAGATTAACAGCCTTTAGAAACAAATTACAATGGTTAGTGAAACTGATTATAGATAAAATATAATTATTCAGTATAGGCCTGACACAATTAACATGAGCAACCTCACTATTTACTAGTTATCTGACAATACCCCAATGCACCTCTGGGGCATTTTATAGTCTATGGGCACTTAGGATGAAAACAAAGGAATTTTGAGTGAAGGGAAATGCCTAAATGATAGTTTTGTGTGTGCAGACAATGGTTTACTGGTAAAGCATTTTGTGTGTTAGGGTAAAAGCCTATTGACAAAGCAGTCTACACATGTGAGGGTAAAAGAGTAACTATAAACTTGAGTGTTAGTTCATACTTCAACTATAAATACAGTACAAATATAAAAAACAACAATTTAAACTAAATTTCCCACCTGGAATGAGGTGGCAATACTCTGTAGTCGACAATTTTAGCTATGTGGCATAACAGTATGCAGAATAGGTGTACCAACTTATGTAAGCGTGAAAATTTATGAATAAATTACAAGTGTATAATCACCTATTAATGACTTTGAAAAGCTACAGTCTGCAACTTTGCAGTATTTGGTACTTACCGGAATCTTGGAGAGTCCCGCTGGCACTCAATATTATCAATTATGGCCTTCATCTTGAATTTTCCTGTAAAACAGACATAATAAATAATATTGCTTGTAACTGCACTAATGGATAATACTGTAGAAACACTTAAACACAAATTATTTAGGCTACAATTTCTTTTTCATTTATCTATTACAGCACATATTCCCTAACATTGCTGTACCAAAATTCATGAGGGTTTTCTGAGAATGTTCTTAATTATTTTTTTCCCCATAAAAAACACTAGAAGTATAATATTACTTACACAACCAAACTTTTAATCTGTATACAGTACATGTACAGTACTTTAGGTGCCAATGACATTCATTCCCAAAAATTTTAAACGAGTTGATGGACTATTTTTTGGGGCATGGCTCTTCACTCCTACTATTATAGGTAATGTAATACCTGTACTGAATACAGTACAGGTACAGTACTACAATATGAAAATTTTTCAAAACACTTATCTTTAGACTAATACTGTATTACAAACCATCACCCTTTTAAAAATAGGTCTAGAGTATTAGGCAAGACTTCTCTACTCTACGGGCAGCCACAAGGACTGTAGAGAGTGAGACTCTCCAAGCCTGACCTTTAAGAGAGATAGGGGATATGCTGTCTGCTTAAGTTAGACCCTCCAGTATAGACAAGCACACATTTTCATCTTCACAATTCAACACATGTACTCGTACCTTGCCAAGATATCTACCATTGGCACGCTCATATACTGTACTGTACAATGAAAAATAAACTTCTAGAAATTAAAGGGCATCTTAAAATAGCTTTGTACCCATTTAGCAGAAATATGATGTGCACTGTAAATATGTTTTCTATATGGAGTATGATCCTATTTGAAAACTCAAGGGAAATTTGCTAGCTTTGATGATATACAGTAAATGAGCTATATACGAGTGAATGTGGTGGTCGTGTGGGTGGCAAGCATATGTGGGTGGAGGGGGTAGTGGGAAACCTTCTATGTGTATGTAAACACTCTTGAGAGTAGGTCACTACATATGAGAACCAGCAGATGAGAGGTTCAGACATCAACTCCTGAATCACGTCCTTGCCCAGTGGGAACTGTGAAGGCGTAGGCCAGAGTTTATTTGTGACCAATGCAACCTTTTTATATTTGTCAGTACCTGTACAGTAAGTACAATATCTCTTTGGTGCTACTATAGTATGCATTCTACCAAGCTGGAGCTGGTCTACCAGGATATTTACAATGTAGCAGCCATTAACCTAAGGTTAGGTTAGGTTCTTATAGTTATAGCAAGTATTTTAAAAGAAGTGATATTTACTAGAACCTAATAGAACCTGACCTAACCAGCACAAGCAACCTCCCTAAACCTGGAATTATTATCACCTTTGTCATCCAGCGAATTTTAAGATTTTAAGTTACCACCTTAAGAGAGAGGTTCAGGAGGTAAGGTTGAAATTATGATTTTCCAATGTTTTTTTATGTGTTTTGGATGATTGTGACCTACTTCCAAATAGGTGGATGACTGAAATGATAATTTTACCCCTAACCTTACCCAACTTTCTAGCTGGGGGTGGGGAGGGAACCCCTGCCATATTAAACAAAAAGTACTTATTTTAATATCTGGTACCAATAAAAGTAACTTTGCTGAAGAGTTATGGTGTAATTTAAATTTTTTTTTTTTTGACGTGAGAGTACGCTTGAACCAAGCAGTTCAGTTGTAAAGAAACTGAACATGCACAAACTTGGCAGATTTTTCGGAGTATTTACGGTAAATAATTAATTTCACATACAAAGCACATAGAATCATTTTAGTGTCCTATGGTCACTTTTCCACTGTGTTTTACCTCACAATTTCAGTCATCCTTCATGCTCTGCCCACTACATGTGATTTATGACTGTAGATAAAGCAAAAAAATAAAAATAAAAAAAATATTTATTATTAAAATAAAAAGTTGTCTCTTTTAAAATACTTACAATAATAACAAGAACATATGAACATATGTGGAAAGAATGAACGAAATTTAACAACTCCGTCTAGTGGTGGTGCTGCTCTAAGAAATTACAGATTTCTCATTATGTAGCTACTGTAGCTGGTTTATCGAGACCTTTGTCCTTTGGTGTTATTGGTTTATCTTATAAGTGAAAAAATAACCCGGGGAAGATTTTAGAAGCATTCCTGTGACTGAAACAAAACCTCCAGATTTAGAGTGTGAATAAGGCATTGTTGAGCATCAATTGATTAGTTTTCAGGATAAAAGTTAAAAAATTAAAACAAACCAAAAAATCCTCATCACTTTGTGAGGGGTTTCCTTGGGGTAAGAAAGAATTTTGGTTAGGTTTTGGTTAGGTTAAGTTAAGTTAGGTTAGGGCGGTTAACACCAGAAACAAGGGTCAGATACGTTCAAAATCACAACAAGAACCATAGAAAAAATGTATCTTTTATGGACAAATCGAAAGCTGGCTACTAACATAAATTGATCGAAAAAAACGGTCCGACTAATTTCCCAAATGTAGACGCAATTGAGTCAAATAATGGTCCTACATGAATAAATCGGGTTACCAATCACTTCTCGATTATTATTTGGTGTCAGTCACAAAAAATTGGTAAACTTAATTTAATCTGAGTTGAGTTAGGTTAGGTTAGGTACATGCACTCGATCTATTAACTCAGATTAAATTAAGATTACCAATTTTTTGTGACTTTATGACACCAAATACTAGACGAGAAGTGATTAGCAGTCTGATTTATTCTTGACCTTACTGGATTAAAACACTACTTTACACATAATACGAATAATTATTACAAAAATTAATCTACCCAAATTAAGTAAAGATGTTAAATGTTTATCAGTTTCAACACTGGTAATGGTTGTATCACCTTAACCAGTAGGGTTCTGTTGCCTCCAGGTCTGACTACCGCTATGCTTCACTCTGGTGGCTACAGCTCACTACACCAGGCCATTATTTGCCTCAACACGCCGTTAAAATCAGTCAATTTCCCTGACACATCAGTCCACTTCCTCAAGAAAGTCTGTGGTCGACAAAAACACAACTGTGATACCGGGAGCCTCAAGGGAGCATCATGTATGGAGGATCCTGGAAGCCATAAAGAGGATCAAGTTTATTTTGTAGATTCATATTAATTCAAAGGGAATCAGAAACTTTGTACTGAAATTGTATTGTATCGTCTATTCTTACGTCATGAGGAGGCGGGTCTGGTTGTGAAAGTTTAATAAAATTTCCATATAAGGAATGCAATATGTTGTATTTTCTAAGAATATAATTAGGTATTTTGGGGTTTCGATTAATGTATGTTGCCGTAGCACTCTTATTACCCAAAGGGAAAGTAAATTTCATGGTTAAATAATGACCGGACGTGTGTGGACAAAGCTCACTCACTGAATTCAGGAAACAAAACCAGGTTATAAACATTAATATATCGTCTAAACTCAATACGTTACTTATACTTAAAACTTTCCATTAATATTGTGGAAAATAATCTTGCTTTCTGAGGGTGACTAGATTTTACTTGTCATACCATCACTAGACATGTTTCAAAGGGTTTCATCTGTAGGTTTTCAACAGTGCTCCAATTGTTATCTAGTTTACATACATATTTTCAACACACTGTTATCATTTAGCAACATAGTCTTTCTTTTTCTACATAAAGCTACAGAATTACTTAGAACCTGTTAAAAAATAACCAGTAAACATTATGGTCCTACATGAGCGACATTGCAACCTTTGATAAAACCACTGGTGCTTTATTGCAGTAGTTTATCTTAATACGAAAATTGGTTATCATTTAGCAGTTGCCTGTAGCAGTAGCTATTGTAGTAACGTTAATGTGTGTGTGTAGGTGTATGAGTGTGTGTGGTACTGGCGTCTCGACATCCCTGTAAGATTTTTTTTATGGTAGGAGTCTGCTGAATCCCAGGGGAAGAGAGACAACCATATTTTTCTGAGCACAAGACAACCAGCCATTGTATGATTCCCACCAGGGTAGACAGGGTGGGCCAGTGGGTGTTCTTGGTAGATAGATATTTATTCAGTATGTCATACAATTTCACATGCTATTAAACTGAGACCCCAAAAATTCGTAATAGTCATACTGTACTGTGATCGAGTTTTTGGTCATAACCTTTTAATTTATTTAATTTATTCTACCGTGTTGGTCTCGACGAAAAGGTTTCCTCAAGCCTATTTTGACAAGGTTCTTCTAATATAACTTTTGTCTTAAATAGCACCAGGAAATTAACAGGGTATAAAATAAGTGCGCAGTGTTCTCAACATGTGCAATGTTCCATCTAATATTTTACTTTTATCCTCTTCGCTACCGATCGGCTCGTTTGCCACTTGGGCGGTCGGTCACGCCTCTGTTACGCACTGTTAGCAAGTACTGTGCATGCATTGCCTCCAGAATGTATCTGCACCAGTGTACCTGCTCCACTGTTGGTCAAGTCGGTGCCGTCACAACACTGACAGATTGTTCCAACAGTTTACAATTCTTACTCCGAAAAAGTTTGCCCTCAGTTTTATGGGGCGAGCGTCAGTCAGCTCCATGTACTGTATGGAACTTCTGAGATGTGAATAATAAACTTTATTTAAGTCACCCCTTGCCCGTCTATACAGTATAAGCTAGGCAGCTGCAGACGTTCTAAAATCTCTGGGTAACTGAGGTGCCGTAGTGTAGGCACCACTCAGGTGGCCCTCTTTGGACATTTCCAATCAACTGACAATCTTTAGTTTAAATATTTATGTACTAATTTATTATTGTAACGTCAAGTGTGATTTTCTCCCTTATGTGTTACTCTATATGTTTTAAATTTATCAGTAAATACTGTAAATTGCTTAACTTGGTGCACCTTTTTATAGCCTAGTCCTCTTGGTGATCGCCCAGAAATAGGGTATTTCCTGCAAGACCTATTGATTATTTTTTTTTTCGGGAATTAGCCCACCCGGGCACAGGTCAAACGACCCACAACGAAGCCTGGGGGGCGAAAAAAAAAGAACGGAAAGAAATTGTAAATATAGATAAAAAGGTTATACTGTATTAATCTACACCACGAAGATGCCGGAAAACCAGCTTTTTAAAGTGAGACAGGTTGTAAGAGCATGGAAACACAGAAGAAGGCAGAGCATTCCACAGTTTGGCTGTGTGAGGAAAGAAGGAGGTACTATAACGGGTTATTCTCGTATGACCGACATCCACAGAGAAATGATGGGCACCGCGGGCAAGACGTGTGTTACGAGCCCACGGCCTTGCCGGCGGTACACAGGATGCCAAGTCCACCGAACATTACCCGTTAAAGTACCTGTAAAAGAGAGAGAGTGAAGCAACATTGCGGCGAAGAGAAAGGGAAGAGAGATTGTCGACTAAAGGAGGAGAGTTAATAGGACGAAATGCCTTAGATTCCACCCTATCTAATAGTTGGACAGAAGGAGAGCCACCCCAGATATGAGAGCAGTACTCCAAGTTAGGACGAGAATGAATCCCTTATATACTTGGAGCAACTGCTCAGGAGTGAATTAGCTGCGGCATCTGTACAGCATTCCCAACTTTCGGGAGGCAGCTTTAGTTATACTAAGGATGTGTGATTTCCAGGACATATTGGAGGAAATGCAGTGGCACTTGAATTGTAAATGACGATACTGAGGAAGAATCTGAGGAAACAAAGATAACATTTATTTTGTTACGAGTCCCAGTTTCTCCCTTAGACATATTTTTTCACCCTTTATACTGGAGATCGTAACACATCAATTGACATACAAAAGTAAGAAATGCATCCTTAAACATGAATAGCCTACTTACATAAACTGAGACATCTCGATTCAGTTTGTTTTCCCATTTGACTCGAGGAACATATCTAGACGTATCATTAGTACAATTTTTCAAATATAGTTCCTCTCTCCTACTACCGCGACGTTTGTAGGAGTGAGGAATTATATTTGCAAACGTAGACTAAGGATATTTGATATTTTTTTTCTTTGAACGACAGGTTAGAAGTGAATGGATTGGTGACTTGCACCATGCCTAGTATTCCGGCAGTTTTCTGTGGTTTCGTTGTTATGGGATGAAGTGTTAAAAGAGCTTATACTGTCATCGGTCTTACTTTAATATCTATCTACTTATTTTGGGCACTTCCAACCATACAATAAAGATTTATGTGAGTTCCGTAAGACTTAAGATTGTCCATATGCAGTCATTCACTGCACCTGCTACTCGGCAGGCCACTTGGTCACTGACTTAATCTCACACTGACACATTTACGTTATTCACTGGGGTGGTTAAGATTAATGTCTGCTATGGCGAGTCGTTGTAAAGAGCAAGGTCGATGGAATGGTACTCTAATAAATTTTGGTAAATAGTTCACTCATTGTACAGCGTTACTATTCCTCAACTTTCAGGGGATACAAAACAAGATTTAATTTTAGTTTATTGTACAAGTTGTCAGTGCTCACAATTATGGCCTACACGTTGATGTTATGTATGAAAAGTTAAAGTGTTCTATATACATTCGGGAGCTTATACATGCCCAGTTCCTACCAACAGTGACATTTGTTTTGGTACATTCAAGAAGCTGTGCGTGCCCAGCACCTGTCAGTGTGTAACAGTGACCGAGGTCCGACCACTTTGTATGCTGGCAAAGAATGCAAAAGGCAGTTGAAAAGCTAAAACCACATATTTTTTTATTCTAGTTATATATTACAATATGAACATAGTTCAAAACGTGAAGTAAAATATGGCAGCTACTTGAAATATCCTGCCATTTGAGGTATACTAAAAACTATGAAATTATATTTCTTAAGTATTTACAATTACATTTTCCACTATTTAGGCTACCCAAATTAGTTGAGTATATGCCCCCACACATTTCTATATAAACATTATGATAATCACATTTAATACACAGGGCCGGATTCAGGAGTGGGCAAAGTGGGCAGCAGCCCAGGGGCCTCCACAATCTGGGGGCCTCCACTTATTACAATATCTTATTTATTTGTATTCATTTGGATTATTTTTATTTTAATTCTTTAAAATTCATGTTTATATATTCCATCACGTAAAACTATGTTCAGCAAGAAGCGTGATAGAAATTAGGCTAGCTTACAGCGCCCCCCGGAACTCCCAGATGTTTAAGCTCGCTTCACTCGCCACCCAACCCTCTTGGGTAGTTATAACGAGGGGGGCCTCCACAAAGAGACTGCCCATGGGCCTCCACAGGTCTAAATCCGGCACTGTTAATACAGGTCCTTGTAGATAAGTTACATTGTAAGTAAACATTGATATACAATTACACTTCAGCTTTCTCATCACACTTGAAAGGCCCAGGAGTGCGGATACATGATACTTTATACTAATTCTTTGGCACAGTACACAGGAGGTAGTATGGCCGGCATTGAACTTGACCGCTTTCACTTTCCTGCAAGTAAAGTTAGGTACCCTCTTACAGGAAAAGAGAAGAAGTAAAACACATACAACTACTCACAGTTGACACCGAAAAACGAAGGATGGAGAGACGATACCAAGAAAATACCCACGACTAGGGAGCCCAAAGGAATATTTAATTATACATTTTGTAATGAGTATTCCAGATTTTTTAATATATGCTGCGACACCTGGACCCAGTTTAATATTACAAATAATTCTCTGTTGAGAGTTAACTTCGGCGAGAAAATTTGCCAGGAATAAAACCCGAGGAAAAAATTTTAACGAGAAATTTGGCTTAACATATACCTTGGGCTCTCTCACACCAATGCCAGAATTTTGCAGAAATAAACAATACACGATGCAAATGTCCGGTGCAAGAATCTCGACAGAAAAAGCCTTCCCACTGCCGACGGAAATGCGTTGTGCAGACTTCAATACAGTGTAGTCAGTGTTGGACCTGCAGTGAAGATAGGAATATCCCTTCCACAACAGTCTCCAAGTGTGTCTAATTCTATGTTCGGGGCGTATCTTGTCGGATATGGCACAACGGCTCTGTACTCCCATGATCAACTCGTCGTCGTGGTTGCGAGACAACTATCGTGCGACGGACAATGACGCTCTTACAGCTCTACATTAGATCAGAAAAAACGGACAAACGAGTAGCGAACCACATTCCGGCGCATGATTCGGACATGATTCGGTGTGCCAGTGTGATCATCTCGGCCGGAATGTGAAGTAATGTAACAAGTTATTCCGTATCCGGAATTTTTTGGCCGAAACGATCGGACAATTTGCGTCATAATGTGCAAGATTCTGGCCTTGGTGTGAGCAGGCCTTAGTGAAACCAAACTAAAACAGGGAACTTAGGGAACCTTGCTATAATAAGGGATTTTATTCGGGAGCTTGTTTTAGTTAGCTAAATCTTCATCCGCTGGTTTCTTTTAACCTATTCCTGTGTGCATTAACCTTGACTGTTTATTTTAGTGTGTCCTGATTAGTGGGTAAAAGGAGCAGGGCGCTGTGCGTTGATGTGATTCTAACAACATTTGTAATAACCGAAGAGTCAATGTGTGTAAAAGCTCAAGTTTGTGCAAACCGGAATTCCACAGTCCGACTTACAGTCCGACCTATTAATAACGTAACTGTTCACTACACGGTAAGGATCTGCCCTAAAGGCACTGCCAGTTACGTGACCCCAAGAAATATTGAGGGAAATCAGCTTCCTATGTTAGGTTAGGTTGGTAAGATTTTCGTGAATTTGCCCAAGAAATTAATATGAAATTCATTAAAAATACATCGAAATACTGTATACTGGAAAAACTTAAAATTTCGTCCAAAAAGTCGTGGCTGGTCCTAAAACGAATAATGACCCAAAACTTCAAAGATCCAGCCTATATTTTCGAGAATACAACAGTATCCTGCATATCTTATATATACTCTAATGTTGCTGTAACGTTAAATAGCGATTCTGAAGAGTGGAACGTTATCAGTACTATATGCATTAAATAAAGAAAGAGCTCATATAAAATAATGAATAGTCAACAGTGCGTAACAGAGACGTGACAGATGGGCCCGAGCGGCACAACCACAGTAATTGCGTCCCATTGCAGATGGTTAAAAAAAAAAGGCACAAAATATATGAGCGTAAAATTCTGCTCGATATAGGGCAAGGTATTTTTACCAATGGCGTCTTAAACATTGTGCTCGACTTTGTGTATACCATAAAAGAGACCTGGGTGGGTAAAAGTCACGGGAGAAGGAGATCATGTTCTGGCGATAATTACTCAGTCCCCTCGTCACACTAACGACCCAGGTGGTATTAGGTTGAGATAATATAGCTTAATACTATACTGAAGTGATCTGGAGCTGCACTGTACTCTGGGCGTGTAGTTTGGCGGGCATGGAGGGATGAAGTGTGGTGATTGGCACGTGGGTAGAAGGACGTTGTCGTGTCTTGGCTGCTTTGCGTTTGGCCTCCTGGTAAGTCACGGCCAGCACTACCTCTCCGTTTGGCAGCATGAACCTCTGTACCGGGGACGACAACTCAGACCGCGACCTGCAGTTTTTAATAATATTAATGATGATTATAATAAAAAAATAAATATATAAAAATTAATTCTATTACTACTGCTACTACTGCCTGTACTACCACTACCACTATTTTTTATACTAAATGGCCTCCAGCCTTCCCCAATAGCCACACCTTCGCCACCATTTTATTACCTTAATATTAAATATCCTAATACATAAGTAGCTACCCTAGCTGTGTTGAGTTAGTTGAGCCGCAGATCTATGCGGCATTCAGTGACAAGGCAATTTTCGTATTAAACTTTGACAATTTTTTTTATTGTTTTAATATAAATTCGTCAGTGGGCGGGGCTATGAAACAGTAGACGAGGTTAACAACAAATCACTGAAAAACAAAATACAAAACGTTGGAAAATGCATGTTTGAGCCATCCATGTCGTGTGTCTGATTTATTAGTATAAACACCAAGACATAATACGCAAAATACTGTTTGATATTATATAAGTAAGAGTTCAATACTTTCTAATGTGATTTTAAGGAGGTAATAAATTAATTAGCTGTGATTTTTTTTTTATCAGCTGCGCACATAAGAAATTAGAGCCTTTATAGTTGTGCCAAAGGACTATAAAGAGCATAATTATTATCCTTGGTTGTGGCGACTTGTCTTAAAGAGAAAGGGATACATGTCCTATAGTGCAAGAGTTTGACACTGTTTTAAGATAGGACGAATAATACGCATTAATGACATTGTTTATTCTTATATTATTGGTAAATAATAATGAAAATGATAATTTATTTTATTATGGTAAGTTTTTTATTCAAGTTATTGGTACCATCTAAAGATAAGGAGCCTTTCCTATAAGTCAGAGTGTATTGTTGCAGGCTAAAGTCCATGTCCAGTACTTGCCAACAGTGAGCAACAGAGACGTGACCGATCGGCCAAGCGGCGAACGAGCCGATCTTTTGGTGAAGAGGATAAAAGAAAAAGAAAAGAAAAAGTAATCAGACAAGGAGAAGTTTCTCAAGAGACATTAGTGTAGAGGCGACGACCCAATAACACTTCAGCAAAGCTCACCAAAATGTCGTTCACAGTTGATGTACGTATCTTTGAATTTTTTTTAATTTGAATATGAAGACTTTAACAATATGCAGGTGTTTAGTCATAAGAAACAAGCTTAATTAAGCAAGGAAGAAGGTCACCTGCAATCATATGTAAACAGGTCTTTGGTCATAAGTATGTGGTTAAAATTGTCTTTTGTTTGAGCCTATTGAGCAGGTATATCAATACATCTGTATCCAAAATAAGCAGGAGTGTACAGTATGTGTCTCATAAGTCGCGTCCACACTTGCTGTAAAGCACGTGTTAATAATGTTATGTAACATGCTTGAGGGTATTTAGTAAAATTTCATGTTATATAACAAAAAAAATCAAGGTTTATAACATGTTAGATGTTATCCGTTTGAAGTCGGAAACATTAAAGGATGTTTCATAACTTATTATATAACATGTTACAATTGCGTCCAGACACAGTTTGTTCATAACCTTTTGTTTATCCTTTCAGTTTACGGAAATCACGACCTCGTCATCACTCGATATTTCAGTATCGACAAGTGTTCATAACATTAACATAGTGTGGACGTCATTGTTAGATAACATTCTGTTATATCACATTTTCTATAGCTTGTTAGCAACATTGTTATATAACATGTTACCGAGTGTGGAGGCGCCTTTCGACCCCAGGAAGCAGATATGTGTAATTTGTTACCTAACTCAGCAGATGTGTTCAGCATATTGCCCTATGGGGATGGTGTTTGGTCCCTGTAAGTTAAAACCAGCAGTATGGCTCCAATAAGCACGTGTTTGTCCTCAGGAAGCAGACAAGTGGTACGTCACCTATATGTAGCAGTCACCGCAGCAGTGGCCGTGGAGTGGGCCCCTCGTCCTATGAGCCTTGAAGCTTCAGCAGGGATCGACTCGTGTAAATCCCTTAACAGGATCCTGGCCAGCTCCCTCCTGTGGAAGACCCAGCTGTACTATGTGACCCGCTGACGGAGAATCCAGAGGATGGGGAGAAGGAAGAGAAGGGGGGGGGAAGTGAGGAGAAGAGGAGGGGAGGTGGGCGGAAGGTCTGGGAGGGGAATGTTTGAAAGGGAAACATAGGAAAATTTCATCTTGGATTATCGCCGGATATCAAAATTACTATACATACATTATTTCTGTTTTAGGAACTCTCCATTGCACTTTTTTGGCAATTCCCAAGGATGTTTTTTTTTCGCATAGGGGTTAATTTTGCCACAAATATACATTAAACCAGTTCTCCTGCGATCTGGCAAACATCATCCAGTACGACCCTGGGAAAAACCTAGCTATAACTAAACTCAAGTAAACTACATCAAACTAAATTAAATTTAACTAAAGTAAGCTAAACATGACCCATTATCTTTCAACGTCTTTGTTCACATTTTTATATATTACAGTTTTTTTGTGTGTCTCGCTGCAATCATCTCTTCAAAACTATTTTTTTTATTATATTTTGTAATTTCTAATTCTGTCGCTGCGTGTTTACTTTTCGTTTTGTCAGACTGAAACAAAGGATACATTATTATTATTATTATTATTATCATTAAGGCTATTGTCTGAGTATTTGCTTAAGATATACAGTTGTTAATGACGTGTTTATTCTTATCAATGACTGTGTGTGTATGTATAGGCAAGTTCATGTGCAAGTATGTGTGCTGGGAGTTTTATGTATGCAGCAGGCGTGTATGATTTTTTTAGCAAGTATACTGTACAGAGACCATACATAAAACAAAAATTCTTCAGTATATTGGCTCGTACAAGATACTCTCAACTGACTCTTGCAGATGTATTTATTATTCACGGTGATTCGGTTACTAACTTAACATTATTATTATTATTGTTATTATTATTATTATTATTGTATTTCGTTTCATCTAGTATATTATTACCACCTGACTACCACTTGAAAGAGCTGTTACCTTTTGAAGCTCTAACCTGAAGGAGCACTAACCTGAAGGAGCGCTAACCTGAAGGAGCTCTATCCTGAAGGAGCACTAACCTGAAGGATCTCTCACTTTACGGAGCTCTATCCTGAAGGAGCACTAACCTGAAGGATCTCTCAATAGATTCTCACCTGAAGGAGGGAAGGTTGAGGCCGTAGACGTAGGGGTTGAGACAGGCCGAGGCTTTACACAATATGGAAGGGAGGGTGGCGAGGAGGGGCGTGATAACGGCTGAATCGAAGGTGACAGACACAGCGACCACCAGGGCATACGGCGACCACGACAACGTCCACAATGCCAGTAACACCACCACACGCGTCTCCGTCTGCTGACCACACCATAGGTTATAAATGATCCGGGTCACCCAACTTATATCACCCAGCTTATTTCACCTAACTTGGAGGGGGGTTAGATTAGGTTAGGTTTTGTTAGGTTAGTTTGTTAGGTTAGGTTAGTTAGTTTGTTAGGTTATATTAGGTTATGTTTAGTTAGGTTAGGTTAGATTGAATTAGATTAGATAAAGATGTGGCTATGTTAGATCACGCTAGCTGAGGTGAGGTTAGTTTATGGGTCGTGTGTGTGTGTCATTATTTTTCTCTCTATTCCACCCGCTTACCATCCCCTCACACACACATGCACACACCAGGAAACATACAGCGTAACTCATACCACAGGTCGTATCTAATGGCAATCGGATACTGCCTCTGTTATACCTCTGTTTCCCTCCATCACAATTATGAAGTCTCTTCCTCGCTTGAGAGGTGTATATTTGGAAGTTATTGTGTAGAGATGAAAAAAAACATATTATTATGATTTTTTCCTATGCCTTTCTTCTGCGAAATTGTTGTGGGGATATAAATGAAAAGTATAATTATTCTTTGCTGCTTTTTACCATTCAGTCAGTCTTTCATAAAAGACATGCCTGACGCTGTGCATTCCTCCATACAAATGTTTGCGAATGACGCCAAGTTATTTCGAGAAATTAAGAACCATGCTGTAGAGGGATCTCTGTGAGCTTCAAGAATGGTCGAAGAAATGGCTGCTAAGATTAAGAGGCTGCACCTGGAACGAACCAACAGTAAGAAGGCGTATCATAATGTCCCAAAGGGACGAAGAAACGGCATTAATTGAGACAATGTGAAAAGGACCTGGGTGTGTACGTTGATAATGAGCTGAAGTTCTCGGGCCATTGCGAGAAGGCAAATCAGGCAACTAAATTATTAGGTCTTATAAGAAGGTCGTTCAGATATCTAGATGGTCCGCCCCTTGTAACGATCTTCAAGAGTGAAGTGCTATCCCTGTCTGGAGTACTGTCACCCCGTCTGGTCCCCTAGATATGCTAGGGACTGTCAGTTGACTGAAAATGTCCAGAGGGCCACCAGATTGGTGCCTGCACTGCGGCACCTCAGCTACCCTGAGAGATTAGAACGCCTGAATTTACCTAGCTTTTACTACTTCGGGCAAGGGGGGGACTTAATTGAGGCGCATAAACAACTCAAAGGGCGCTACTCAGTTGAGTGCCCTTACCTGGAGCTGGCAGACGCTCGCCCCACAAGGGGTCACAGCTCAAGGTTGAAGAAGCAACGGGCCCAGAAAACAGTGAGGGGTAACTTTTTCGGAGTGCGAGTTGTGAACTCTTGGAACAATCTGCCAGAGAGTGTTGTGACGGCACCGAGTGTGAACTCTTTCAAGACCAAACTTGATAAGCACCGGGGCAGGTTCAGATACATTCAGGTGCCAGTGCATGCCCAGTACTTGCCAACAGTGCGTAACAGAGACGTGGCCGATCGCCCAAGCGGCTAACGAGCCGATCAGTGGCGAAGAGGATAAAAGTAAAAAGTATAAGTAACACGCGAACTCGACAGATGTAAACACTGGCAATGAGCGTTCATATAAGATCATCCAGTCACAATACATTCAACCTATAACAATTGTGTAGAAAACCCACCCTTGAATTCGTAATGTTTAGTTTTTAGATATGTCACAGGTCTAACCCAGTACCCAATCACCGAACTCCTAAACCAAACAAACGAACCTCGGAGCCGAACCTCTGTTTCCCGGAACCTAATCTTCAATTCCAGGGTCGAACTTCCGAACCCCGATGTAAAGGGTGCGTGTGTGTGAATAAGTGATTCAGATTTATTCTACATAACTGTTATATGACGACCAGGTGTGTATTAGTTCAGGTGTGGAGTAGTTCAGGTGTGTGTGTGTGTGAGAGAAAGAGAGAGAGTACTCACTTTCCTGTGCGGTATGTGGGTATCTCCTGAGGCTTGATTATTCAGCTGTCGAAATTCCTCCCGACTCTTTCTCACCTGTGGGGGGGGGGGCGAGGGTGTTGACTCAGCTGGTGATAGATACCTCTACGTATGATACTACAATACGTAGAGATAGACTTAAGTGGGTTAGCATTTAGTTAAAGGCCTCAAGCAAGAACCGATTATTTGTAAACTCGCAATTGACAACAAAAATACTAATAAAAACAGCATTAATAGTACTAAGATAATAATAATAATAATAATAATAATAATAATAATAATAATAATAATAATAATAATAATAATAATAATAATAATAATAATAATTCATAGTAAATAAAAATTTTAATAAAATAATTTAAAATCTTAAATAAAATAATAATAATAATAATAATAATAATAAATACAAAAATGAAAAAAAAAGATCAAGAGTGAGAAACAATATATGTATGTTGTGTTGTCAATGGTAAGAGAAACAATTGAGACCCTGCAATTGTGTGTAAATGAGGCAGAAAGTCAGATCAGCAACCTGGGACTTGGTCACATATGGCAGCAGGGTCTACCATAGACAACACATTATGCTTCCAATATCTTCCCAGGTGGTAGTACCTCCCTGTTTGGATTATATTAAAGTAGACTAGATTAAAGTTAGGTTAAGTAAGGATTAATTTTGATAGTTCTAATTTTCCTGTACATCATTTTTAATTAAGAAAAAAAAATCATCGCTCGATACCAAAAAAATAACCTTCTTCTGAACTGGAGACACGAAAGAATATAATGGGGGTCAAAATTGCTGTGAGATTTTATTGTGACCGAATCTGATCTCATATTAACGAACGAACAAACGATAGCGAGAGACAGACAGACAGACAGATAGTGTTACTAGTTATTAAAAACACTGAATTAATTATGCCTTTGTTATCTTAGTGGCGAAATTTAGACAAACAAACAAACGCATTTTATAGTTGACAGGCGTACAGACAGACACATAAACGGGTGGTGTATAGACAGACACACAGACAGACATAGTACCAGTGACTACCAGTGGACAAGTCGATCCATAGACAGACTATTTCTCCTCACAGACAGAAGACGTGGCACCATGATAGACAGACCAATAGACAGACAGACAGACAGAACGGCGGGTCACCAGACAGACAGAAATTAAGATGGATCAACAAAGTAACAGAAAGAGAAACAGTCAGAGAAACCGACAGACAGAGAATTAGACAGACAGAGAACCAGACAGACAGAGAACCAGACAGACAGAGAACCAGACAGACAGACAGACTTACCTTGATGGCTATGTAGGTGTAGGAGAAGATGACGGCGGCCATAGGGGAAGCCCAGGCGATCACCAGCAGCATATAGACGAAGCTCCTGTCCACCCAGCTCTCTGATAGGTAGTCCACTGTACACCCGGAGAGTACCCCCTGTGTGTGAGGAGGAGGAGGAGGAGGAGGAACAGGAGGAGGAGGACGAAGAGGAGGAGAAGGAAGAAGAAAGGGAGTACAGAAAGTGTGTGTGTGTGTGTGTGTGTGTGTGTGTGTGTGTTAGGGAGACAGACAAACGCATGTTAAGTTACTGAAGATTATATCAGAAGGTGACTTAACATATCGGACCCTGGAAGAAAATTGTCCTTCGGCTCTGTGTTTTTGTATCCACACTTTCCCTTACGCCATTACCCCTCCATCAGTGCCACCATGACGATCTTTTAGCTAGGACACACACACACACACACACACACACACACACTGCCTCGACCAATAAGAGGGGGAAACGTGGTCAGCATAACAGGAACAGACCACAGCAGTACCTCACCTTCCATACAACAGCCAAAGATTAAACGTAAATCCCAGAGTCCGGATAATGCAAGACTCGAGTCCACGTAATGTATATAAATCAAAGAATGTACTCAATGTTATATAGAGTCCGGTTATATGACAGAAGGAAGGTATATGAAGAGAAATAGAGAGGTAAGCAGATATAGATCAATAGCTAGATAGGTAAACATGAAAGAGAGAGAGAGAGAGAGAGAGACTCACCTCAGGGACATAGCGATTCCAGCCGAAAACAGGGAGGAGGGTAACGAAGCAAGAGAACACCCACACCACGCCCACCACCGCCCACGACTGTAGATAGAGGCCAAAATGAAGTAGAAATTACACCGAGACTCTACATTAATTATCGACACCTTATTATCTTCATTTAAGGGGGAAAAAGATTAATTAATTATATTTTGAAAATTTGGCCAGCTCAGCTCCACTCCCTTTCCCCCCACCCCCCCATCCATCTCTCTATCCATCCATCTAACTACATAGTCTCCATCCACTCCATCAACCAATGACCTCGAGTAAACCTTCATCTATCTATCCATCTATTCATTTATCTATCCATCTATTCATCTATCTATCCATCTATTCATCTATCTATCCATCTATTCATATCTCTATCCATCTATCTATCCATCATTGATCTTCACCTACACGGTCTCGCTGCCTATTGAGTGCCTTATCCTCCAACCCACAAAAGTCACTCCATGGGTCTAAAATTACACTCTTAAGACCTATTGACAACATATAGTAAATGCCGTCTCTAGCGACCTGGCAGAGAGAGAGAGAGAGAGAGAGAGAGAGAGTAATGTGCCTTGTAACATGAAGACTCTGTGATGATGTACTGTACTGTATATACCTATGTTCAAGAGCGTCTGTGTTTACGTACCTGAAACCTGTGTTGACTTAGCTGGCACCTGTGTTGACGTACCTGGCTGGCAACTGTGCTGACGTAACCTGTACCTGTGTTGATGTACCTGGCTGGCAACTGTGCTGACGTAACCTGTACCTGTGTTGACGTACCTGGCTGGCAACTGTGCTGACGTAACCTGTACCAGTGTTGATGTACCTGGCTGGTAACTGTGCTGACGTAACCTGTACCTGTGTTGATGTACCTGGCTGGCAACTGTGCTGACGTAACCTGTACCTGTGTTGACGTACCTGGCTGGCAACTGTGCTGACGTAACCTGTACCTGTGTTGACGTACCTGGCTGGTAACTGTGCTGACGTAACCTGTACCTGTGTTGACGTACCTGGCTGGAACCTGTGTTGACGTACCTCGGTTGGACCTATGTTATCGTACCTGGAACCTGGGGGATCTGTGGTGAGTATTGAGGGAATGTCGCACCACATAGTATCGGTCGAGGCTGATGGCAGTGAGGAACCAGATCGCCGACAGACCCGCCAGGAGGGAAACCGCCCCGTACACCTCACAACCTGCCGACCACAGTGGGGAGTCAACAACGATAACTCCACAAGGGATGATGTTCCTCGCTGCACTCACAAACTACCTTATTACCCACACAGACGACAAAGGACATTACCTCGGTGGAACGAAGCAAGAAACATACACTAAGGCGTGGATATGAAGACTAGGAAAGCTTTGGAATAAAAAAACATCACCATACAAACCTAAGAAACATAAAATCGAACAGTAAGATGTTGGGTCAAAAGTAGCAGTGGAAATGGCAGTGGGTTGATTGGATAGTGTGTGTGTGTGTGTGTGTGTGTTTAGGATTGTGCTGAACTAATTCCTGTCCCTATACACCTTGACCACCAGCATCTCCTTACCAAATTTAAGCTCTTTAGTCCTTAAGAGACATACAGACACAGATTGTCTTTCATATATCAAGACACTTTACTTTATGGCTACTGTATACACACAAGTACAGAACTTTAACCGTATTAAAACACTTGTACCATTACACACACACACACACACACACACACACACACGGAGGCATAAAATCACAATATAAAATATGAAGATGATAATGATAAAGATGATGATGATGATGATAACGATGATGGCAACGACGATGATGATAATGATGATGGCAACGACGATGATGATAATGATAATAATGATGAAGACGATGATGATAATGATAAAAATGATGATGATAATGATAATAATGATGACAATGATGATAACAATGATAAAAATGATGATGATGGTCACTATGCTCACCCGTACGTCCGGTATACGGCCCCTGCATGAATGAGTTGATAATGAAGATAGGAGCCTTGGACATCATCAGCAGGTCAGCCAGGGCCAAGTTAGTCACCAGGAGATTAGACGAGTTTTGGAGACGACGGTACCTGGGAGAGACAGTGGAGAGATAGAGAGAGAGAGATAGTGAGACGAGGAGACTACGGGGGGGGGGTGAGAGGCTGAGAGATAGACGGTACCTGGGAGAGATAGAGAGAGACTAGGAGACTACCAGGTGAGGGCGAGAGACTGAGAGAGATACGCTGGAAAGACATAGATTGAGACCTTACTTACGTTCACCTATTCGATCTCCGTTCACCTATACGACCACACGTTCACCTATACGACCACATGTTCACCTATACGACCTCACGTTCACCTAAACCACCTCAAGTTCACCTAAACCACCTCACGTTCACCTAAACCACCTCACGTTCACCTAAACCACCTCAAGTTCACCTAAATCACCTCACGTTCATCTAAACCACCTCACGTTCACCTAAACCACCTCACGTTCACCTAAATCACCTCACGTACACCCACCCGGCCTAACGTTCACTAAATCGATCGCCAACAAAACATACATTACAGGACCACATTTCTACATAAGATAGATTACTTACCTTATAGAGCTTCCTTTGCCCTGCTGAATCCCTTGCTAGATTGACTCATATGGTCGTGAGGTCTAATATGTGGTTAATCCTGGTCGTGTGGTCGTATTGATGGACGATAGTGGTCGTGTGGTCGTATTGATGGACGATAGTGGTCGTGTGGTCGTATTGATGGATGATTGTGGTAGTGTGGTCGTATTGATGGATGATAGTGGTAGTGTGGTCGTATTGATGGATGATAGTGGTAGTGTGGTCGTATTCAAGGATGATCGTGGTCGTGTGGTCGTATTGATGGATGATAGTGGTCTTGTGGTCGTACTGAGGGGTAATAATAGGCGTGTGGTCGTTCTGAGAGGTAACAGTGGTCGTCTTGATGGATGATAGTGGTCGTGTGGTCGTATTGATGTCTGATATTAATCGTGTGGTCGTTCCGAGGGGTAATAGTAGTCTTGTGGTCGTACTGATGGATGATACTGGCCGTGTAATCGTACTGAGGGGTAATAGTAGTCGTGTAATCGTAATGATGGATGATACTGGTCGCGTGGTCGTACTGAGGGGTAATAGTAGTCGTATAAATGAGTGATATTAGTCAGGTAAAGGAATCAGTTTGGTCGTTTAAAGGAATTAGACTAAAATAATTACGCCCTCGTAGTGAATGACCCAACAGGTAAAAATTTTACTTTACCCCATAATAAAGTGTAAATGGGGACAAATATTCTGCCCATTTTTTTTTGGGGGGGGGGGTTAATGGAAACATCTGGCAACTCTCACATAGTATAGTAAATGTCACCCTGATTACGGCTCAAAGCTGGTTCAATAACTTCATTCATCAGGGTTTGTGAAGTGGTCTATTTACTACTATAAGGGAGTTGCCGGATGTCTTCCATTGGCTTTCAGCAAATGTGGGGTGGATTGTTTTTGTTTCTTCACCAAGTGTACATTGCATGGGTAAAGTTCTTCTTATATTAGTCTAAATGATCTCAAACAAGAGTAGATTTTTTTTTTGGGGGGGCAGGGCAGAGGTATTTGATCTTTGACCTCATAAAATCGCTGAAAAGGTCAAAATTAGAAGACATGAAAATGACGTCTGAGTATATAGGGTTAAGATATTAAATTAAACTAATTGCCTTTAAGAAGAAGTCACGAATAACAGTGGCTTTATAATTCCGAGACTGAGCACACTGAACGAATCACCGAACCCTTGAAACGAATCTCCGAACCACTTAAACGAGTCTCCGAACCGCTCGTCTACTCACAGATAATACTGTTGTATCTCATACGGAAGTAATAAAACGATTTCAATTGCTATCACTACCTCAGCATACCCGAGAACCGGTGACCCGAGAACCGGTGACCCGGGAACGAGGATTCTTACACTAAATCATAACTTGTGTTGTTAACTTTGACGCAATTTCTGTCCGACAGCTTTGTGTCATATAGAGCAACTTGGGATTACTTGAAGATTAGACACTAACTAAAAATAATAATATTCAGGTGTTATGTAACTTGTTCTAGTAAAAAATCAGTCATACATCCCCATCAACAAGGAAAACAGTAATAACACCGTCTACCTATATTGATATTACCTTACCTGCAGTACATGATGATGACAGTGAGATTGCCGACAAAGGCGATGGTGGTGAGGAGGGTAAAGGTGATTCCCAGGGTGATGTGGAGGAGAGGGTGAGGCTGGGGGAACCTCATCCAGTGTTCAGAGATGAGTGGTACCAAGTCCGCAGGGGCGTTCATACCTGCCGGGGGAGACATAACGTTGGATTCTCAAAAGTTAGTGAGATAAAAGTTTTCCTGGGACTGACCATATGTGAAGGATGAGTCCAGACGATGAGTATTATTTTAAATGACGTCGACTTACACAGTTTTCAAGGCTGATGACACACACACACTTCTTCACACCTATTATATCATGGAAAAGCACAACCGCTTTTTGCATTATGTGATCGACCAAATGTAAACTAAAGCATAAAGTATCAGACATGCCATGTGGTGGGTGACGTCACACGAGGGAGTAATGCGACAAAAGACTAAATATAGGAAGAAAATGTTACTTTTAGTAGTCAGTTTTGATCAAATAAATTGGGTTTTAATTCATAATACATAATCACTCCATCCCAGAGTAGTAAATGGAGGAGAGGATAAGTAAAATCTTGAGTTAATGTGAGGATTGATTTAGTCTTATATGGCAGAGCTTCTATGGCTCATCGGCATTGAAAAAACCCACATAAAGATAAGATATTTGAAGTAAACAATAACACTCAGAGTACAGATAATGTGAACACCAATAAAAAAAATCATATAAAATTTTCTACACCGTTGCTCATCAGTCATCAGAATGTTTTGGAACTATTATATAATTATAAAACTATCAAATTACAAACACATATAAACTTGTTGGATAATATCACATACATGAGTTGTTTAATACTCTTGTACTTTCATTAATAATTTAATTGTTTACAGGACATAAACTACGCCTTGGAAGTGACTGATTAGTTTCACAGTGTGGTGGTCCGATGTCAGCGTCTTCCAGCCAGCCTTGATAAAAGATAAAACCTGGTGGGCTTCTCTTAATGTCAGTTATTGCTGTATAAATCTGACACTGGCGACCCAATAACATACTCTTTTTAATAGTGGGTTAAGACTGTACTGTGAGAAACAAAAAACTAAGAATAACAGATTTCTTTACATTTTATATTTCCTGAAATAACTGGGGCGGGGAGGGGAGCTGTTGTTGACTTTTAGGTTACAGAACAAAGTAAAAACGTAAACTAAAAAAATTATAAAATCTTCACTGACGCTCAACCTCAGTTAGATACATTGTTGAAGTTAGGAATTTAACGTAAATCTTTGCGAGTCTGGAGCTTGTTTTCTGTCGTTCTGGGACCCATCTTTTTTATCGTGTCTCGCATTTCTTTCTTTCGTTTCACCTCTCTTAGGTAGTCCGTATTTCTCACTTTATATGCTTCATGTTCTCTCACTCTATGTCTCTGCTACGCTTTATTTCTCGCTCTCTATCTGTCTCTATGGTTCTCTCTTTGTCTTGTTAATGCAATTAGTTGTGTAGGTTTTGGACAGCATCAATACTCTGGACACACACACACGCGCGCGCGCGGCAGTACTCACCAAGACAGAGGGGCTGGCCACACGTTGTCCCGTTGGGTGGCCACATACCCCGCTATCCACCGCCTCCACACTGTTTACCATCCACCTGCTCCACCCTCCATGGACGGTGCTGCTTAGTTCTGCAATTAATGGAAGAGAATTTTAATGAGTGGATTATGTGTAGCTGCCTTTGAGAGAGAGAGAACTTGGTGACACATGTAGAATTGATAAAACTACTGTGTGTGTGTGTGTGTGTGTGTGTGTGTGTGTGTGTATGTGTGTGTGTGTAATGAGTAGAGAACTACGAGATATCCTTGGGTGTAAAGGGCCGCCTGTCGACGACTCACAGCCAGACCATTTTTTTTTTGTTTACTGGGATTAGCCCACCCGGGTACAGGTCAATGACCCACATCGGGGCCTAGTGGGCGAAAATGTAATAATACTAATAATTCCTAGATAAGTAAAATTTATAATAAAAAATAAAAAAATAAAAATAATTAAATAATAATAATAATAATAATAATAATAATAATAATAATAATAATAATAATAATAATAATAAAGAAATACAAAAATGAAAAAAAGATCAATAGTGAGAAACAATACATGTATGTTGTGTTGTCAATGGTAAGAGAAACAATTGAGACCCTGCAATTGTGTGTAAATGAGGCAGAAAGTCAGATCAGCAACCTGGGACTTGGTCACAATTTTTGTGATTCCATATGGCAGCAGGGTCTACCATTAGACAATACATTATTCTTCCAATATATTCCCCGGCGGTAGTACCTCCCTGTTTGGTAGCTGTCTACTACCTGAAGGGAGCCACCAATATACCCCCGGTAGATGTTACAAGAGATATACCGGCTCATTCAAGGGTGATGAGTATGTTTAAAAGGGCGTAGCAAGCAGGGCTTCAAAGACCTTAACCACTACTACTAGACTGCCACGGGGCGATCTTCACGACGCTACTGTGAAGGTTGAAAAGCCAAGAAGAGCATAAGGCGTTTTAGATCAGCCTTATCATTGACAGACAGACGGGTATTGAATAACAGTGAGGTAGAGAAACAGATGAAAGGAAGAGGAGAGTCTGAGATGTATGGTACTTGACGGTAATTGCCCAAGGACATGAAGAAAATAATTTCCCCTGGATGCCACACTCTAACCGGGCAATTTGTAGATAATGACCTAGTGCCGGGTGCTTAGGTCTCAGTCTCGTTCATCTGTTGTCTCGGGTATTTTGCTTGAGTCCTTTTCAGAGTACAAATTTATTTATTAACTTTCAAATCTATTGGGAGAGAGTTGCCAACTGGTTAGGTTAGGTTGAGCTTAAGCTAGGCAGCGTCACCTCACCTCAGGTCACAAATTCACTACTGTGTGTGAATGTGTGTGAATACTTGTAATAGACAAAAATTTAACAGCGAGTCGAGAATCAGTATTTTGTCCTACTTATATCTAATTAAAGAATCGATCTGGAGTGAAGTGTTTCCCCATATGGAGTACTGTCACCCCATCTGGTCCCCGAGATATGCTAGGGAATGTCAGTTGATTAAAAATGCTCAAAGGAGGGCCACCAGACTGGTGCCTGCACTTCGGCACATCAACTACCCTGAGAGATTGGAGCGCCTGAACTTGCCTAGCTTATACTACAGACGAGCAAGGGGCCACCTATTTGAGGTATATAAGCATCTCAAGGGGCACTACTCAGTCGAGTGTCCTTACCTGGAGCTGGCAGACGCTCGCCCTACAAGGGGTCACAGCTCAAGGTTGAAGAAGCCGCAGGCCCAGAAAACAGTGAGGGGTAACTTTTTCGGAGTGAGAGTTGTGAACTCTTGGAACAATCTGCCAGAGAGAGTTCTGACGGAACCGAGTGTGAGCTCTTTCAAGACCAGACTTGACCATCACTGGAGCAGATACAAATACATTCAGGAGCCAGTGCATGCCCAATACTTGCCAACAGTGCGTAACAGAAACGTGACATATCGCCCAAGCGGCTAACGAGCCGATTAGTGGTGAAGAGATTAAAAGTAAGCAAAAGTAAGATAAACCAACAAAAATAGGTTATCAGTCCTGTCCTAAAGTATAGTGGTACGATTTAAAGATAAAAGGCCAAGTAGTACAGACAATACACATAAAGACCAGAGTGTATTTATTTTAAGCTCTGACCTTTTAACATCAAGCTGACTTTGACGCTTGATATAAATCTGATACTGACTTTTTGACATTAATCTCTGACACTGGCCTTTCGACATATAAGCTTTAACACCGCCTTCATAATTACAGTAAAAGGTAAAGAAATTAAAACCCGCAAAACAATGAGAAATTACCCTCTCCTACACACACCACCATTTAAGACTCAACACTTGTTCTTAGCGTTTCCAATATGGTTCCTCACTTGCTCTTCTTGTTACTACCATCGTTACTGCTACTACGGCTACTACTATTGCTACCACCACTACTTCTACTACAGTACTACTACTACTACTTTTAATGCTATTGTTGTGAGTATTGCTGTACTACTTTTATTACTGCTATTACTACTACTACTATGACAACTACTATTTGTGCTACTAACTACTACTACTACTACTACTACTACTACTACCACCACCATCACTATTGCTATTGCCATTGCTACTACCACTACTACTGTTACTTTTTTTAAATGGCCTCCAGCCTCCCTCAATAGCCATTCCTTCGCCACCATTTTATTACCTTAATATTAAATATCTTCATACATAAGTACCTATCCTAGCTGTGTTGAGTTATTGAGCCGCAGATCTATGCGGCATTCAGTGACTGTAGCCTCATAGTCAATATCTGCAACTGTTGTCGGCTTTGGGACCGATGCTCTCGTTCCCCTGAGGCAGAGCAAAGCCAACAGAAGGAGAGAGAAGGACAGTCGACATCTCATCCAGGCTGTAACATAACTTCTGGGCTGCTGCTTCTGTTTGGAGATCACCTCCGCAAGTCTGGCGTAGAAACATCTTGCACTTGGTCCCATTCCACCAGAGGTTGTGAACACTAGAGGAATGAAGCTGCCTTGATCAACGTTCTGAATTCTCTTCCCGTATTCCCTTACCTTGTCGATCTCGGTGACATCCTGATGTTGAAGAAAGCTCGCTGTCCCCACGTCCAGAATCCTCGAGCACTGACGTCAACACGGGCTTCGTTGGATGTGTTTGAAGTCCTATGTTGGAAAATCTCACCGTCCAATGGAAGGAGGGTCGGTTCTACCCTGACATCACGGCAGATTTCCTTCAACACATTTGCTGTGAGATCCCTTACTTCGTCATGCCTCATGTATATGAAGCCCCCTTTCTTGCACACCATGGCGTGATCGACGTCATAGGAAGAGCCACACACGCATTGGGAGGGCAAACCTTCTACTGGCCTACCGTACCTTAGAGCAATGGCATCTGTAAATTCTTGTTTATTGAGACTGAAACCATTTGCCCTTATCGGTAACGTAGTTAACCAGTTCGAGGCGCCCACCTCCTGCGCTATAGCTACTTTTTTCTTCAAATTCTCTGGTACTTGAAGCAACAGTTGCTGCAACTTATTACTTTGGCTGTGCTGTCGTTCTGTCGTAATGGACCTTCGAATCTTGTCTACTTCACTGGTATCCACCTCACCTGTCGCATTCTGAGCTATTATGTGGTCCGTGAGGGCTGCCATGAGCTTAACTGAGTTTTGATGTTCGGTGGCAGCAATCTCCTCTGGATTGGTCAGTCCCATTCTTCCCAGTCTCGGTGGTAGTGCAAGGAGTGATCTTTTTGCTGGGGTTAAGTGAGGGTGTTTCACTAATTTGGGAATGAAATTGACACTGATAGCTTCTTCCAGAGGGTGGAGGAGGGGTCCGATATCAGGGATAGTGCGCATCAGGTAGTTCCAGCGATGCTTGACTCCATGAGTGAATGCCGCAAAAGCCGCATGTGGCTCTGTATTAGCAATCTCAGACAGAGCATGGATTTCCCTAACCCACTCATTCACCTTCCCCGTTACGTACTCGGTCTTGAAGTCCGCCGTGCCAATTACTCCGCCTAGGTGTCTTTGGCCATCCTTTGTTATTTTGACCTCACTTCCACCGAACACCTCTATTGCCCGTTCATAATGTTCTGGCTTCACAATGAGGAAGGATTGCTGGTGTTTGGGTGGTACCCTAATTGTGGGCCTCGTGATGTTACCAGGTCCCACCACTTTTTGATGCCCTCCACTTTTCCTGCTCCTGTAAGGTCATCAGCGTACGCCACTTGTTTGACCCCAGTTGTTTCAAATTTTATTGTGTGTTGGAGCACGGATAGGCCTATTGCATATATTGCCATTGCAACAGGGTCCCCGTGCGTTGTTCCCTCTGTTGACTGTATGATGGTATCACCTCTTAGAGCCTTGTTGTTTACTCTATAAAGGTCTGATGGATTCCTATAGGAGTTTTCAACATATACATTGCAAAGCTTGGGCACTTGATCTTGATGCTGTGCAGTGCGGCCTTGCGGTTAAGTATGTTGAATGTGTTTGAAGCGTCCACCAGGAGAACGGCCTCACAATCGCGCTGCTCAAATATCGTTCTCATGGCGTGAATGGCGGCTTCCCCTCCAGCTTGATGGCCAGCACAAACTTGCAGGTTCCCTGCTGCTGCCCTGACATCGTCCTTTACCTCCTCCATTATGCATTTTCCGATGATCCGCCTCAGCACTTCCCCCACTCCTATTGGCCTACATCCTGGATTCTTATCTAGGGGGATGAGGCGGCAGGCTGTCAGAGCATGGAGGTGTTGGCAGCACGAGGATGCCAGCAGAGATCACTTGCTACAGGGCCAAACTTGTTAGTGCTGAGGATGACTCTCCAACCGTTTGAATCCAGACCTGAAGGGCCTACACCGCCCTGAGTCTTCAGTGCCTTTTTCCACACCATCCCTCCTGTTATTTTCTCGAACAGGACAGCATTTGGTGGGATATAGCCACCCTGGAACCTGATGCCTTCGTCTTCACTTGCAGGGGGATGTTTTTCTTTCAGTTGTTTTAATGTCTCTCTGTTTATTGGCAGAAGCCCACCGGAGGATTCCTCTGTGAGAGATCTTACCGCCAAAGACACTTTTCCCACACGCATTTTGTTTCCAAACTTTCTTGCAACGTCATCGGTGTTACTACTGTT